AGCAGTCGGGATGCCGGTGGTGTCACGTCAGCCTGTCCCGGATCCCCCGCACCGCTGTGCCCGCGGATCCCAGTCCCGCTGGCGTCAGGAGCACCGCAGTGCCTGGGTGTGCCCCGTACGCCCTAGACCTTTGCACCACGTCCGCCTCTGGCACCGTGCGTGCCGGGTGCTCAGCGCGCACCCTGCCCCTCGCACGCCCCGAGCTCCCCAGGTCCTGCACGGCCTGGACCCGAGAACCCTGCTGACCCCATGTGCTGCACACACCCCAAACCCTCCACACCCCGTACCCCTGAGAGGTGGGACCCAGAGCATCCCACACAGCTCAGCCCCGATATGCCACGGGTGTGGGGTGCAGCACAGACCCCATACAGCTGTACTGTCACGCTCTGTGCACCTGGGTGCTTGACAGACCCCATGCAACTCTGCCCCTATGCTCCTTAGATGCAGGGCACCCTACAGACCCTAACCAGCTCTACTGCCACGCTCCCTGGACCTGGGTGCCCTGCAGACCCCACACAGCTCCCCCCACCTCTGGGCACCCTGTAGACCCCATGCAGCTGTGTCCCCACACCCCCTGCACAAAGGACACCCCATAGACCCCATACAGCTCCCTCCACCCCTGGGCACGATATAGAACCCCACACACCTCCACCCCCATACTCCCTTGACACAGAGCACCCTATAGACCCCATACAGCTCCAGTCCCACACTCCCTGGATGAAGGGCACCCTACAGACCCCACACAGCTCCAACCCCACACTCCCTGGATGACGGGCACCATATAGACCCCACACAGCCCCTCACACCCCTGTGCACCCCATAGACCCCATACACCCCTATCCCGCCCCTCCCTGCACACAGGACACCCCATAGTCCCTACACACCTCCACCCCCACACTCCCTGGATGGAGGACACCCTACAGACCCCATACAGCTCCCCCCACCCCTACACACCCCATAGACCCCACACAGCTCCGTGCGCCCCCGTGCGCCCCCGTGCGCCCCCGTGCGCCCCCGTGCGCCCCCGTGCGCCCCCGTGCGCCACAGAGCCTAACAACCCCCCGCTGCTGCTGCTACCTGCCGGGAGCCTTCCTCCTCCTCCTCCTCCTCCTCCTCGTCGTCGTCGCGCAGCTCTCCCAGGTAGTACTGCTCGAGCCAGCGGCGGGCGTTGGCGGAGTGGCGGTGCGGGGGCCCGTCCAGCGCCGCGCTCACGTCGGTGCCGGCTCTGCGCCGCAGCAGCTGCTCGCCGCCGGGGTGGAGGCGCACGAAGGCGCTGAGGTCGTAGAGGCGCCGGTGGCACCGCACCACGCACGAGCCCTGCGCGCAGCGAGCCCGCACCTCGGCGGCGCTGAACGAGCGCGGCGGAGCCGCCATGGCCCCGACCGGCCCCGGCTCGGCCCCAAACCCCGCTCCCGGCCCCGGCCCGGCCCCGGCCCGGCCCCGCTGTGCCGCCCGCCGGCCCCCGCCGCCTGCATTAACCCGGCCGCGCCGCCGAGGCTCCGCCCCACGGGGCGCTGATTGGGGGGGGAGGGAGAGGGGGAGGGGCTTGGGGGAAAAGGGGCGGGGTTTGGGGGAAAGGGGGCGGGGTTATGGGGAAGGGGGCGGGGTTTGGGGGAAAGGGGGTGGGGTCTGGGGAGAGGGGGCGGGGCTTTGGGGAAGCTCCGCCCCCCAGCAGGTGGGGGGGTGGGGGTGCGTGGGGAGGGGTATATGGGGTATGGGGTATGGGGTATGGGGGGTGTATGTGGGGTATAGAGGGTATATGGGGTATGGGGTGTATAGGGTATATGGGGGGTATGGGGTATATGGAGTATGCAGGATATACAGGATATATGGGGAATATGGGGTATATGGGGTGTATGGGGTATGTGGGGTATAGGGGGTGTATGGGGTATATGGGGTGTATAGGGTGTATGAGGTATGGGGTATATAGGGTATATGGGGTATATGTGCTATAGGGTGTATATGGGGTATGAGGTATATGGGGTATACAGGGTATACAGGGAATATGGGGTGTATGGGGCATATGGGGTATGGGGTATATGGGGTATGGGGAGTATGGAGTATACAGGTTATGGGGTGTATGGGGTGTATGGGGTATATGGGGTGATGAGTATATGGGGTGATGGAATGGAGTGATGGGGGTATAGGGATGTGGGGTGAAGGAGGAAAGGGGATATGGGGTGATGAGGGTATGCGGGTACTGGGCGATGGGGGAATGGGGTGACAGGGGGATGAGGTGATGAGGTGAGGGGGTATGGGGTGAGGGGGGAGGGGGGCATTCCTGGGGAGTGGGGGTACGAGGTAACAGAGGTACGGGGTGACGGAGGTATGGGGTGACGGAGGTATGGGGGAATTTGGGCACCCCAGGGGAAAAAGGGCCCCGTGTCACACGCAGCGAGCCGGCAGCAGGTTCAGTTCATTAATTAATAAAAGTTGCCTTCGCAATTACCCCAAAGGGGGGTGGCAGCACTACAGGGGCACCCCATCCGCCGCAGTGGGTTTGGGGTTGCGGGGGCCGCTTTGGGGTGACGTCCCCACCCCAAGGGCCGGCCACACGCCGGCAAATTTCGGCGTCGCCGCCACCAGGCCCCAGCCCCGGCTTAATGCGGGGTGCACCCTGCCCAGGAATGCCGACCCGGGCGGCCCCCCCAGCCCTGCCCCGGCCTCCCCCATGGATTTTGGGGTGCTGCAGCAGCCCCGCGGGGCGTTGAGCGAAGCCTTTAATCGAGGCGGATGCAAAACTCGCTGCGGCTCCGGCGCGACGCCTCCCTCCCAGCCCCAAGACCTTTGGGGCAGCAGCTCAGGGCAAAAAGTCCTCGTTTTGGGGTCATTTTGCATGGGGGGGTCCCTGGGTGGCATGTCCTCGGGGCAGGGGTGCTGATAGGGCCGGGGTCCCCGGGCACACCCAGGGTGGGGGGTGACAGCCCCACGGCACCCACAATGGTGCCGGGGGTCCCCGGTGTGGCTGTGGGGCCGGACCCGGGGTTCCCATGGGGTGGCCGCGGGGTCCCCGGCTGCCGGTGCTGAGCTCGGCGCTTTGTCGAGGCAGGGCGGCTCCCGTTTTAGGATTTTTGGGAGAGTGTGGGGGCGGAGGCGGATCCGGACAGGCCAGGGAACTCAGCCGGAGCCTTGGGGCACCTCCGGGCCGCTGCACCCAAACGGGGCGTGGGGTGGGGGGCTCAGCAGGGCCCGCCGTGTCCCCAGGTGCCCAGCACCCCGGGGTGCGCGGGGACCCCGGCTGTGACCGTCCCCACGGGCACTTCCTTGGCCTCAACTGACGCTGGCGGTGCTTGGACTGGTTCAGCTGGCGGACGGACGGACGGACACCGGGGACAGCAGGAACGTGCCGAAGGGGTTGGGGCAGGACGAGGCCCCGCGGCACGGCACGGGTGGCACTGGGGTAACGTGGCTGCAGAGCAAGGCGCCGATACGGGGGGGGCTTTTCCTTGGCGCCTCCTCCATCCCCATCCCCGTCCCCATTCCTCCTGCCAAGCTGGGGGTGAATTTCGAAGGAGGATTTGGGGAGCTCCTCGCTCTTGGCATCGTTATTCCGAGCTGCCAGGCGCTCCCCCCCGATTCCTGCCCTCGCCAGGCTGCGGGTGGGTGAGGAGCAGCCCTGCCCCTGCCTCCTCGCCGCCGCGTTGAGCAACGCCATTCCCAGGGCAACCACGGCACACGCTGCAGGGTGTGAGACGAGCGCCCGGCCCGCAGCGTCCGGGAAGAAATTCCAGCTCCCTCGGTGGGGTTGCACAAACCCAACCAGTGCCTCGCCACCTTCCCGGGCAGCACTGGCCGCCCTCCGCCCGAGCGGTGCCCAGATGCTGCTCAGATAGCCCGTAATGAACTGCAATGAGGCACGTCAATAGGGCCACCCGGCAGCCCGTCACCTCCAAATAACACCTCTCCGTCCCCTTCCAGCGTGGAAACGCTTCTGAGGCGGGCGGCTGTCACGTAGGGAGTGGGGTGGGAGCACCCCGGGGGTGACCGCGGGGCGCAGACGCCGCCCGGGGCTCTGCCGAGGTGCAGGATGGAGGGTTTGGGGTGCCGGCAGCTCGGGGAGCGCGGTGCTGCGTTGTGCAAGAGCTGTGCCAAGCCCCACGGGCGGTCACGTCGCTCCCGGGGGAATGGGGAGGCTGCTGGAGCCAGGGGATGTGGGTACGGGGAGAAGGATGGGGACAGCGCGGTGGCACCGCGCGGGGAGGAGCTGCTCCATGTGGGCTCCTCGTGGAGAGCGAGCACGGCTCGGTGCGGACAGCTCTTAGGAAAATAACTTTAATGGTTCACACAGCGCCTGCTCGGGCCCCTGCAGGAGCTCGCCCCTGTGGGTGCTGGCACGGGGCTCGTCCTGGCCCCACATTTGCCCAAAATCAAAGCTGAGGGTGCAGGCTGCCGAGGAGGGGCAGGGGCTGTGCATGTTATGTGTGTAACTTCAGGCAGGTGCACGGCAATGTGCAGGTGCAGCCCCAAACAGAGGGATCAAAGCGGGATGTTAGCAAACTGAAGCTCCACAGGGATGAAAATCACAAACCTTTTACCTCCAATGCCCTTCTAAAACCCTTTTTCCCCTGGAAATTGCTGCCTCCCTGACCCCGTCACTGCAGCAACTCATCCCAAATCACTCATCACTTCCCCCCCAGCTAAAACAAGCCACGGGGAGCAAGCGCCCTCCTTGTGTCTTCTCGAGAAGGAAGCCGAGGCTTTCCAAAATGCCCCCAGGTGCTGCCCTGCACGGGAGGAGACCCGGGCTGGGACGCGGGGTGCAGATCCCCGGGGAGGCAGCTGCCACTCCCAGCCACGAGGATGAGGCAGGGACGAGCGAGCTGAAGTGCACCGCACCGCCCTGCCTGAGCCAAGCCCGGAGACGCTGCGGGGTAATAAAGTGCCGGAGGAAAGCAGCTAAACCCCGGGGACTTTGGCCGCGGAGCTGGGCTTTTCACACCAGCTGCAGCTCCTGCCCAGCGAGGAGGAAGCCGTTTAGGAAATCATCTTGAAAAGCCCAGTGTCACGCTGTTGCTTTATGGGGTGACCTAAGTGATGTAAACAGACATTCAGAATCAGGACCCTGGCGCTTGGGGAGCTCTGAGCACAGGCACTCTCCGAGCACGGCGCGCAGTTGGCCCGTCGAGCTCACTGCTGCCTGCAAATTATTTCTGTAATCAAATTAATTCTGTATGAAGTGTGTGAAGAAGACTCTTTTGATCACTCTGGGGCCCCTGGAAAGGCACCACCTCGCTGGAGCCAATTCAGCTCTGCCCGTTGAGTGCTTTCCAAAGGAACCTTTTAATTCCTCCTCACCCCAGCAGACTCGCCCCTGCCACGCGCCCTCCTGCTGGTTTCTGTGGCCTGGCATCCATCGCCAGCGACGGAGGCCAGGAGTTTGGTCACAGCGGTCTGAAAGCAGCCCGGGAAGCGCAGGAAGAGTGGAAGCACTTGGAAACATCCCCGCAGCGCATGGCCGGGAGGTCCCGCGCCGTCCCTGCAGCATCCCCAGCCACCACGGGGCAGAGCTTGGGAATTCAACATTCAACCCAGTTCGTGGCGTGCCCTGCTCACCCCCCTGGCTCAGAAGGTGCTCTCGAGCAGGCAGTGGCAGCCGCAGCCCGTGGGGCACACCTCCTGCGTGCGGAACCACTCCATCATGTGGCTGGTGTGGCCGCCGTGGCCGCAGGTGAGGCAGAAGTTGGAGGAGCCGCGCACGGCCACGTGGCAGATGGCGCACTGGAAGGTGAAGCCCTTGCAGATGGCGCACTGGGTGCCCCGCACCTCGCTGCGGCAGTGGCTGCAGTACACGCCGAACTCTGGGGGGAGAAAGGAAATGGAGAGCAAGAGTTAGTGCTGGTGGCAACGGGGACAAAGAAGCCCTACACAGACGGAGTGCCCTGAGCCCACCACCTAAGAGAGCTGCTTGGGATGCACTGCGGAGAGGAAGGCTTCCCGCTGCTCTCATCTGCCTCACAGCTCTCCGAAGTGTAACCGAGAACAGGAACAGCCTTTGGTTCTTATCGTGGGGAGCACAGGGCACGCTCGCTGTCAGCAGTATTCATGTCCTGACTGCCAGCCACGGAGGAGCAGCCGCAGTGCCCAAACTCACCCGTTTTCACTGCAGTTTCTGCCCATCCCACATGACGAGGAGAGGCTGCACCCAGAGCCAAGCAAGCAGCCACTGCTCCTGGGGCACCTCTCACCACGTCTCTCCTCTCAGTGCCTCTTCTCCCAGAGGCCTGGGAGGAATTTTCAGCCCTGCTGGAGCTGTGACAGCCTACAGTCACTGCACCAGCACCTGCCAACCTCCCTGCCACCCCGAGCTAACGCTGTGTGCTGGCAGAGCTCACCTCGGGGCAGGGCACTGGGGATTTTCATCACACTGCCCGCACCTTCCCGAGCCCCAGGGCAGAGCCGTGACCCTGCCCGGACAGCACAAGGCACAGCAGGCACTCACCAATCCCTTTGTGGGGGTCAGGAGGACAGGAGACAAACTTCAGGACCTCGGCCCGCTTCTCCCGCAGCCCCCAGCGATACAGGATTTCTCCGTAGCACTTCTTGAAGTCATCAAACTGCTGAGTGTTGGCAGGGTCCAGGAGCCTGGAGGGACAAACGGTGCTGTCACCCGCACGATGTGCTCTCAGGGGCTCTGGCTGCAATCCTCTTCCCAGCAGTGGCTACACAACCCGCTCACGTCGCTGGGCGAGCAGCAGGCTGCCTCCACCTACCGTTTGTTCTTCTCGTGCTGGTCCTTCTCACGCTCCCGGGGGTCGGGGTAGGGCAGGTTGCCGTATCGGAAGTCATCCGGCGAGGACTCGCACCAGGGCGTGGATGCCTGCTCCGCGTCCTTGTTGGCTGCAGACACCAGAGAGCTGTGAGCACACCCCGCAAAAAAAAACACCTAACAGGGAGGAATCCCTCCGGCCTTCCTCTCCAGACAAAAAGTATTGGGGCAACCCCTTGGAGAGCGCATGGGAACGTTGACCCCAGCAGGCCTGGGCTCCTCTTTCCCAGGAGGGAAGATTCCCATCACCGCGCTGCTCTTACGTAAAGGGGCCTCTGTAGCAAGGTCCTGCCCTGGAGGCAGGGAGCCGACTGCTAATAGCTGCTCCAACACAACATCACCGCCCCGTTAAGTTAACCCCCAGCCTCCACTCTTTCCCATCTCAAAGATGCCTCGATAAGGCTCTGGAAGGGTACAGCGCTGCTAACGGGGCCGATGCTGCCCCAAGGCCACCTCTCGCCCAGCTTCAACCCCGTCACCCTGGAGAACGGCTGGGTTTTGACAGCTTCATAAATCAGCAGGAGATGTCACCAGGGCCACCAAGAAGCCAGCCTTCCCTGCTGCTGCTGCTTCTCCAGGCACAGAAGGAAGCCCAGGGATGACTGTCACCCCGAACCCCGTGGCTGATGACACTGCAAGGCCGCTCTGGGTGATCGATGAATGACTGTGGCACCTTGGAGAGGTGCCAGAAGGCTGGAGGAGAGCAAACGTCACTCCTATCTCGAAAAAAAAAAAGAAGGAGGACAAAGGGAACTACGGGCTGGTCGGCCTCACCTCAGTGCCGGGGAAGGCGAGGAAGCTAATCCTGGAAACCATTTCCAGGCACAGGAAGGACAAGAAAAGCATGGGAAGCAGTCAGCACGGATTCCTCGTGGGGAAGTCACTTTTGACCGACCCGATAGCCTTCTACAATAAAATAACTGGCCTGGCAGACGAGGGGAGAGCAGGTGGATAGGTGTTGTCTACCTTCACTCCAGGAAGGCTTTTGACCCTGTCTCCCATCAGATCCTCGCAGGAGCTGTTGGAGCAGGGGCTGGCTGAGCAGAGAGGTGGTTCAAAAACTGGCTGAGCAGCCGAGCCCACAGGGTGGTGATCAGGGGAACAAAGTCTAGTTGGAGGCCAGTAACTAGCGCTGCGCCCCAGGGGTCAACACTGGGTCTGGTCCTGTTCAACGTCTTCATTAATGGTCTGGATGATGTGGCAGAGAGTTTACTAATGACACGAAACTGGGAGGAGCGGCTGATATGCCAGAGGGCTGCGCTGCCAGCTGGAGAGACAGCAACAGGCCGGACAAATGGGCCAACAGGAACCTCACAAAGCTCAGCAGGGAAATGCAAAGCCCTGCACCTGGGGAGGAACAGCCTCAGGCACCAGGACGTGCTGGAAAGCAGCCGAGACAAGGACCCGGGGGTCCTGGTGGACACCAAGCTGAACGTCAGCCAGCAATGAGTCCTTGCCACAAAGAAGGGCGTTGGTGTCCTGGCCAGAGCGTTGCCAGCAGGTCAAGGGAGGTGAATCTGCTCCTCTGCTCAGCACTGGGGTGCTGGGTCCAGGTCCAGGAGACATGGACTTATTGCAAAGAGTCCAGAGAAGGGTAACAGAGGTGATTAAGGGACTGCAGGAAAGGCGGAGAGAGCTGGGACTGCTGATCCAGGAGAAGAGGGAGCTCAGGGAAGGTCTCGACCAATGTCCAGAGATACCTGAAGGGAGGCTGCAAAGAGCCAGGCTTTTTTTTTTCCCCCAGCTCAGCATGTCTAGAGGGGCTGTGGCAGTTTCCCCAAAGCCCAGAGGCAGTAGGAGCAGGACTGTGGGACCACCAACACGGTTACTGCAAGCCCAAGAGCTGCAGCACACACCCAAGGTGCAGAAAGCTGCTGGGGCAGAGCACATCGGCAGTCACAGCCAGTGCTAACTCCCTTCCTTCACCCACACAGGAGCTAAGACCTAAGCCAGAAGGGAGGCGAATTCCTCTCTCTACTCCCCAGGGTTTTGGTACCTATGCTCCAGCCTCCGGTGCCGAGTCCAGGATCTGACATGCTGGAACAGGAGCCGGAGGACGTAAAGCTGGGCTGTTGAGGGGGAAAGGAGAGGAAATCATGTCACCTACGTGAGAGATGTTCAAAGATATCTGAGACAAAGGGGAAAGAAACGGCTGTCATACGTATCGGCTGTGGGAGGCCAGGTTGGAGGCACGCTGAGGGAAGGGGCCGGAGGAATTGGGGCAGCCCTGGAGCCGGGACTGGGCTTCAAACACGCTGCACAGCATGGCCAGGGTCTGCACGTCGTGGAGCTGCGAGTAATGAGCCAGCCTGGGGAACGAGAGAGACAGAGCATGAGGCTGGGCAGAGGTCAGCAGCAAAAGCATTGAGACTCCAAGGCAACGAACTTCAAGCCCGCTGCATGAATCGATTTGGGCACATCGGTGCCCACGGCAGGCACGTGCGCCCTGCAGGCTGGGCTGTCCCTTCTGCCACACCTTGCAGGAGCAGAGTCCTCCTAACAGGTGGGGGAAAAGCTGGGAACTCTGGCAATCCAGCAGCACTCCGGGCCTGATTACCCCAGCTCTGTGCAGCTTCAGCAACGAGGTCTGCAGGACTCGTGGCTGTTCAAGCTGGAGCCATTAAATTCCCCCCGAGCCACGACGCCTTTTTGATGAGACCCTCTTCCCACAAGCATCCTGCGTTCAGAGCCCGAGGCAAAAAGCCCACCGCAGGTCTTTTGGATGGCCGTGAAGTTTCTGGATTGCTCTGAAGGCTGAGAGCAAAGCTCCCGTGCTGCCCAGCAGGAGGGAGCTAGGTCAAGCCGTGGTATGCAAAGCCCAGCACACAAATCCTGTGTCTCCCAGTGGGACGGAGCAGCAGACGGTTAATTACTGGTAATTCTCTCTCCTAAACAGATTCACTGGCAGGAAGAATTTTGTGGCTAGCACTTGGCTTTGAGACCAGGGGGGTGATTTCCCAGGAATGGCAGCAGTGAATTTGAAGGTGAACCAAGCCAACGCGATCATTTAGGAGGTGGGGAGCAGAAACCCCAAATCTCTCCTCCTGAGGCAGGCACCGCAGGCACGCTGCAAAGCAGAGCTCCAGCTGCACCTGGGCGATTGCTCAACGCCAGCCAAGGGACACCCGGATGCCTGACGGGAGGCCAAATGCTGCCTCCTGCGTGTCATAAACATACTTGCATAAACACACTTCCCGTCCTCATGCACCTCGGGCTTGAGAGAGGGAAAAAAAGACAAGGTGTGGCACCACGCCAAGGCTGAAATGATGCCGTACAACATACATAGGCATGAAGGGCTCCCTCTGCTTCAGCAACCATTCCCAGTCCCTCCCCAGCGTTCAGAGACCTACAGGGACTCCAGTAATTGACGTCCAAATGGATGTTGTGCCCAAGGTATCTCCAAATCTGGGTCAGACTTCGGTCCAAGACAGAGATCAGTGGCTACCATGGCCAGCGACCAAACCTGGCAGACAGGAAGGAAAAACATCAAAGCTACAATTAGAAACAGCCAGACTGCGAGGGGATAGGTGTGCACAGATTCACTCGCAGATAAATATGAATGGCATTTTTTTACTTATTGTGTTTTAAAACCAAGAGGGAGCAGTTCCAGCCCCAGTGTGACAAATTATATCAAGAATAACACACAGCTGATGCCTTCCCTGTCCCAGCTGCTTTAAGACTGGGTTAAACCATAGACTATTCTTCCTCAGAGTTTACCAGGAGAGTTTACACAGACCTGTTAGTTCACTTTATGTTCACAAACCACAAAAGGGTTTAAATTTGATAAAGTACTTTCTCACATGCCATGTTTCTTCTTCATTCACCTCCCTTTACTTTACTCTGGAATCAGTTCCCCCTTTTCAGTCTCCATCCCACTGATGGCATACGACTGCATCAAATCTAGGACTGGTTTTTGTGCTGTGCCTTTTTAAAATGGAGCAGGTAAAACATGATATGCCAGGGAAAATCAAAGTTGTTGGTTGGGCATAAAAAAAACAGGAAAGGAAAGAGAGTGTGATGCTGGAAAGACAACAAATCAGAGGAGACAACCAGAGCTGATGGCACAGGAGGATGGTGGGGACAAAGCTCCAAGTACCCAGAAGAGCAGCCAGCAAGCATAATCTACAGCTGCTCACTGTGAGCTGGAGAGAAACTGAGCAAAGAAACTGAAACAAGGACAAGAAACTAAGTACAAGACAGCACAGAAAGGAACCTGGAAAGATGTCACTTCCCACACTGCTACAGAGCAAGTCTCCTATGTAACTGCACTGCTCACGGCTCCATGAATGCCATGAACAAGGCAAGCTGCAACAGGTTGGAGTTACACGAGTGTCCTGGTTTCAGTTAGGACAGAGTTAATTTTCCTCCTAGTAGCTGGTAGGGTGCTGTGTTTTGGCTTAGGATGAGAAGAGTGCTGATAACATGCTGATGTTTTAATTGTTGCAGAGCAGTGCTTACACCAAGCCAAGGACGTTTCAGCTCCTTGCTCTGTCCTGCCAGCGGGCAGGCTGGGGGTGCAGCAAGAGCTGGGAGGGGACAGACCCAGGACAGCTGACCCCAACTGGCCAAAGGGGTATTCCGTACCATATGGGGTCGTGCTGAGCAATTTATAGGGGTGGCTGGACTGCTTGGGGGTAGACTGGGCATCGGTCAGTGGGTGGTGAGCAATTGCATTGTGCATCACTTGTTTGTACACGTTATTAGTAGCAGTACTATTATCGTCATTATTGTTATTATTATTATTATTGTTACTGTTATTTCCCTGTCTAAATAAACTGTCTCTATCTCAACTCCCAGGCTTCACTTTCCCTTTTCTCTCCCCCATCCCACAGAGGAAGGTGGGAGGGTGAGCGAATGGCCGTGTGGTGTCTAGCTGCCGGCTGGGTTAAACCACAACAACGGGCCAGGGAATAAGAAAGCAAGAAAAAGGAATCAGAAAAGTCCTACTGAAGTTATTCCACCAAAGCTCTGCTCCTCCAGGCAAACCAGGCAGCAAAATGAAGCACAGGGGCTACCAGACCTACCTTCTCTCTAGCTGAGCCCACCATGAAGCTAAAAACCTGACAGCAAGACAACAGCTTGAGTTGGTTTCTGCTTACACCAGGTATGGCTCTGGCCATTCCCTGCCCAGAGCTAGGGGGAGCCAAAAGCTCAGGAGAGGTGCAGAGGCTCCTCTGGCAGTGCCAGCCACAGCCAGCTCCTATCAAAAGCTCTGCCTGTTGCTGTGGGCTGATCACACGGCAAGGGACTGGCCAAAATGGGCATTTTTCTCCAATTACTCGTTGAAGCTGGGGTCTCTGGGCTCAGGCTCTTCTTGGGGAGAAGCCAGCTGCACGTAGTGCCAGTGCGGACGAGTGCTGAGCTAATTACAACGGGAATGATTACGTAAGGCAAAACCACCGATGAAAATACGAGCAGCAGCCAGGCAGCTTTGTGCACAGTTACTTCCTCTGCAGGCTCAAAAACGGGCTGCATCCCCAGCTCTGCCTGCAGGAACCCCCTGAAACGTGTGCAGGACCCTGCTGGCAGCCCTGGGGAGGGACCTCTCGATGCCAAGAGCGAGGAGATAGAGAGCACCCCTGCAGCTGGTTCACAGGCCTCGGTTTGTTGAACATTTCAGGCTCCCTGGAAGAAGTGCTGAGCCCAGCTGGCTGTTCGGGTATCGAGGTGACAGCACAAGCAGTTTGAGAAAGAGGTCTGAACCAACACAATACCTGCACGAGATCCCTCCGTCCAACAGCCAAGGCGGAGGCAGCATTCTTCTGGCAGGTCTCCTGGATATTGTTCACATTCAGTCTGAAAAGCAAGCGGACAGATGAGCTCAGCAAGCAGTCCGGAACCTGCTGATCAATCTGAAACTGCAAGCACGACGAGGATCCCATCCTGCCCTCTGCTGTTCTCCAGGGATCACTGCCATCCTCCTGCCAACCCCACCCTTCACCTTCCCTAGCACACTGCTAATTTATCAGGCTCCAAACTAGCTTGGTCCCAAGACACCACTTCCACGAGGATGTGGGATCCAACTTGTGGCAGAACACCACCAAGCCAAGAGGTGTTCCTGTCCCTAGAAGCCTCCTCTGTTGCCTCCTTTAAGAAGGGCAGCCTGCTTCTTCCCTGCATGTTTACAGAGTGAAAACTGAAGGATCAGCCAGCATTACCAATGCTAAGGAAGCAAAAACTCACGAAAAGAGATTTTACAGCTATCCGAATTAGACACTTTGGGAAAAGACGCTCCTTGTTTATAAACACATAAACAAAACCCAGAACTTCTCCATCCTTTTCATTAAGGTAGGAGAACTTGCTGCACAGACACTGGCATGCATGTATAATCAGGTCTCCGAGGGAATGAGGCATCCCAAATACTTCTGAAATTAAAAATCCTTACGAGCCAAGAGCAGTTTGAGAGCATGAGAACATGCATTTATTGGGATTTTTTTTTAAATCTGTGCACTGAACTGCGAAGTTCGTCAAGATTTAAGAGATAATCTTTAAGATTTGAGAGCTAATTAGTATCAATAACTTCTCTTTCTAGCTTACAAAGAACCGAACCCCTAAGAGTTGCAGAGATGATGCTGGAGCACCAGTTCAGCCTCTGCATACAACACGCCACCACAAATTCCTTCCACCACGCTTTTCAGCTTTCTAGGAGATGAGTCTCCTCTCACGGGGGGAGAGGGGCACCACAAGAAAGCAGCAAGGCAAGGCTAAAGGAAGAAGGTAGGGAAACATCCAAACACTCGAAGGATTAAAGCACAGCAATGCCAACGACAGCTGCTTTCCTTCGGGGAAGGATCCCAAGCTGATACTCACATGTAGAGCTCTCCCAGCAACTTGTGCACGGGCAGCAAGCAGGAGATATCTTGTATAATGACTTTTCCGGCGGCTTTGATGGGTCGGTTGTTGGCATCTGTCCCCTCTCGTTTGCTTTTCCACCTCCTGGATTTCTGCAGAACGAATGGCAGCGTGTTACCGGGGAGGCCAGCAGGCTTCTCGGGCCGGGGAACAACGCACTAGGGTGAGGAACAATGCAAGCAGCACCCAAACCTGCCTCTCAGAAGGCTCTGGGCTACCCTGGAAAACATCCATGACATGCCCAGGAGAACAAGCATCTCCATCTGTAGGGAGTGAAAAGCAGGTCAAGGCAGCGAGCTCCAGGTCAAACTCACTCAAAAAGCATTTTGGGAGTTCCCCTGTGAAAGCCGACACGAGAAGGACTCAGCATGGGGATGCCAATCACACCCAGGAGGGTTTGGCAGGAGGACGGCTCAGTTATCACCCTGGTTAGGGGGCTGGGAACCCTCTGCACGCAGACCACCGCTGACTTCAGCCAACGCTCAGCACGGAGACGCGTGGGAGCAGCTTCTGCTTGCCCTCAGCTTCAGGGCAAGCCACAGGTCCAGGCTCTTGCTCTCCTCTCTCTGTGTCTGAGCACACCCTGTTCAGGCTCCCACCTCTCCTGCTTTATCAGCAGCTCCACACAAACGGCAGGTGATAAAGCAGGGCCCACGCTCTCCTAACAACCCCTCGCTACCAGGTTTGCAGCTATTTAGGGCTGGCTCAGGACGTGAGGCTGAGGGGAGAAGAAAGGAGAGGAATCAACACAGGGGAACAAAACCAGGAGCCCAAATACCCCCTGTAATGGACACGGAGGCCGTCTGCATGCCAAGCAGCATAAAGCTCCCTTGGCCTTACGATGCCCCGCAGGGTATTTGGCTTCTCCTCGTGGCTCCAGGAGGCCGGCGAGGAGGGACGAGGATGTGCAGCAGCATTGCAGGCACTGGAGCTCCAGGAGGGAAGCTCTGGCTGCTCTGCAGGGCTCCCAGGAAAGCAGCGGATGCTTCGCAATGCTGCTCTCCTGTGGCAAGTCCCCTCACTGACACCAGGTGCCGATGCTCCTACACAGAAGCATCCCCTAAAAGTCTAAAACGCTCTCTTACCCTTGGGCAGACAGCACCTCTTGGGGTGACACCTAGAAATATTGCTGCCCCCTCCGTGCTGAAGGATTTGGGGCAGCCAAATGCCACCGGTGCGCAGCGAAGGCTTGCTGATGCTGCCAAAAACACGGGAGCAAAGCTTGGGAGCCCCAGCACAAGGACGTGCCACACTGGAAGGGCTGCCAGGCTGCTCACAGCACGGCCCATCAGCAGCCAACATTCGTGCTGCATCTCAGCAGGCATCCGAAGCCAGAATGCAGGGGCAGAGCCGTGCTCTGCGGGTAATTTGGAGAGCACCTGGCCACCTCCGAGCGAGGCAGGGTCCCTGCCCTCTTACTGGGGACAGATTCAGCCTGCTCCCGCCAGAGCCGACTGAAGAAGCCTCCCAACAGGTATTGCAAAGACTGGAAACACGGACAACACATACCACTTTCCACAGGCACTTGTGGGTTGTTGGGTTTTTTTTTGGAGAATGACAGCAAATGAGGATGAGAATGGAGAAGAGAGCCCACGAATGGTTTCCACCGCTTGCTGTTAGCAGAGCACCAGACAAATGAAGACACTAGATGCATCAGAGCCCCTCCGAAACCTGGACTCGCAACAAAATCTTCCTGCTTTCTTCCTCCTAGCACTGCCTGGTTGTTAGCAGAAAGGAAAGCCCTGATCCTTTACTGGGGCAGCGACAGGAGCAGGGTTAGGCAAGGGCCACGTGCCCTGCTGGTACTACGCTGCTGTGCCCACTGACCATAGAAATCCTAAAGCCACGTGGACAGCCACCATGAAAAACATCTCACTGGTTTTAACAATTTGCCTCAGTTAGCTACAGCAACTATGTATTAGAAAGAAAATGACCATCAGAAGCACGGGAACATCACTGATGAAGTACAGCTCGTTACCTCTGACAGCAGGGCAAGTCCTAGCTTGAACCTCGTACCTACTGGAGCGTTACAGGGACTGCTCTCCACCAGGCTGCACTGGAACACTTTCAGCAGGAGTTACCAAAGGCAAGGAGAGCTCTGGCTTGGGGCTGCCTGGCCAAGGTCCAACCACAAGGTTTCCTCTCTCCCTTCTGCTCCAAGTCGTCTCCCAGGAGGATCTCCCACTACCCAAAGGAGCCACAGAGGCTGGCAGGCGTCAGGGCAGGGCAGAAGACGTGCCTCTTCCTAGGGGCTGGAGCACAGGTCAGAGGGGAGCAGGGAGCACAGTGGCTGGAGCAGAAATCAGCATGCGTGCACCAAGCTACCTGGTGACAGGAGGGCAGACACAGGCGCTGCCCCCAGCGTTTCTGGCTTTCTGCAACCTAGAGCCCACGCTAGGGAGAACTGCACCTACCCAGCTGCTCCTGGGAGCTTAAGGAGAGGGAGAAAAGGAAGAAAACAGCGGTGGTGATAGCAAATTAAGACTCATCAGCTCCTCAGAGCACCAGAAGGAAAGAAACCAGAGCGTTGATGACAGTCATGGGGTTGGAGGTGACAGCGGGGGACAGCACTGAACGACGACTAGAGAAGCCAGCCTGCACCTGCGCTACCATACCAAGGCTGCAATTTGCTGCAATCCAAGGTGACAACGATGGCAGTAAATGGGTTACACGTAGAAAACAGACAGCCCAAGAATAAGCCACCAACTGCTTCGCAGCAACCATCACCGTCAGTGCGTACTCAGCAGAAGTCGGTCCGAAATGCTGCATGCCTGCTGGAAAGGATGCCGAGCGCCTCTGCGTCCTGCCGAGGCAGGAGGTGCCCTAAGGAGCAACTGCCTACAGCTTAACTCCCCCGTGCAGGTCATGCAGCACTGCCTGGATTTTATCTTCAAAATAATCAACAGTTTGCTATTCACAGCATCTCCCACAGTACCAGGCTACTTCCACAGACAGGCAAAAAAGTTGAAGGCACTTTTGAATCAAGTGTCCCAAAGCAGGAATATTTCTTTTTCTTCCCTGTGTCTTCGCCTTGAGCACCAGTGCCAACTTAGGAGAGCACGATTAGACTCTTCCCAAGGTTATCCACAAACGCAATCAGTATTTCAAGGCTTTGACTGCCCCACGTATCATTTTTTTTAAGTATACGTTACATAAAATTATAACTTTATCTCTTCACCACGTGTTCTTCCTTCCAAGCCAGTGGGGCAAGCAAATTAAACTGTGGCCCTGGGTGCACCACCATTTACCACATCAAAAACTAGCATGTTCTTTTCCTGTTTTTGTTTTTTGGTTTTTGTTTTCTTTTTTTTTTCTCCTTCCTCTTTCAATCAATTCCTAATCCAAGACAGAACTTCGCTCCTTGCCTCCACTCCTCACATTTCATTAGCTCTTCACAAAAAGCCTCTGGAGTCAAGTAAATTACTTCTGTTTTCTTTCCCCTATTATTTGCTAGTATAGTCTTAGAGTTCTTGTAATTAGGAAGGCTTGATCCTATTATACCAAGTTAAATTAGGTGGTACAGGATTCTATTTTATTCCCTGCTGTCTTGTGAAGAGAGCATGAAGGTGAACAGCCGTGAAAAAAGTTCGCACCATCAGACCTAAAGAGACCATCTTTAGACTGAACTGAGTTTTCTAAGCTCTGCCTGTGCTTGGCAGATGACTGATGTGACAGTAATTGCCCAAATTTACAGCACAGCTTGAGCAACGCTGATATCAAGACATTCATGTTCAAGCTTGAGGGACTTGTGGACCTGACTGAAGGAAAAGCACTTGTCAAAGCAGGCTTGGAAGGGCAGGTGCCAGGAGGAAGGAGCACCAGCCACCAGCCAGGTGGTGCGATTCTAAGGGCTGGGAGAAGCTCACGAATTAAGGAGAAATCCCACTCCCTGCTCCAGGAAATAAGACTTTGTGGTGTGTTGCACATGCTCGTTTCATTGAGATGACAGATCGTTATCAGCAGCTCAACCAGTTTGTTTCTTCCGCAGTTCTTAAACGGTGCCATGCCAGCAGCTTGCTGCTCCTTGGTATTATTTTCCAGCAACTCCTCCCCCTCCAGAAGGGCTTCATCTTTTTCAGAGATGAGGTGTTCTAATGTCACTCTCCTCAGCTGGTTGATGCTGCATAATAATTGTTCAACTCCTCTGCAGCGTGCACTCTGCTTCTTAGGGGTCGATCCTTTTTTACACCCCAAATTACCCCTTGGCATCCTTTCCTGGCTGCTAAGCCAGGTAAAATAGGCATGTCATGAGTCAGTACTTGTACCCTTTGAACTTGTGTCTGCTCCTGTCCGCTCACACTTGCGTTTGCTCCCCCTGAAACCCTATGTGGAGTGCAAGTCCCCCACCTCTGTGCAGGTTACTCAAAGGCAGGCAGGTGGCATTTTATTCTTGGGCCCTTGGGCAGAAGACAGGGTAATATCAAGGACAGTATTAGCACAGCGCACAGTACCGGGAAGTCGTTAATTGCTTGTATGGACCAACGTCGCCGGGCAGAGCGAGGAGACATCTGTATGTGAAAACATTATACCCAGGAAAAGGGAAGAAAGACACCAAGAAAATTAAAGACAAAGGTAAATAAACTGGAAACGAAAAGTGCCCTGAACCAGCAGAGTAAAAGATACTATTCCCCACGGTTCTGTTACACAATGGACAGTTGCAAACCGAGACCCCGCTTTCATCCACGCACACGTGCACTATACATTACCTATGGACCTGACAAAATGTGGGCTGCTGGAGGGAAGATTTCAGTGATCTCAACCCTGAACAGTCTCCCACATGGAACTGTACTACCCCAATAGGTGTGTGCCCTTGTTCACACCATGATGTGACAGCAGAGAGGACACCACCACGCTGCCCCACGTGCCAGGCTCCTGCTCTAGCCAGTTTTCCCCTTTTTGGCTGAAGAGGAAGGCAGCCAAATGTGACCCCAGCTGCACCATTTTTAACCCAGCTCTCTGACACAGAAATCTGCAGCAAGCTAAGCAAACCCTCCTGCTCGCTCAGCCATCCCTTTAACATCCAGCATCCTCCAGGACTTCGTTCACTGGAGCCTGCTGTAACTGTTCACTTTCATTTTGAAAGCAATAAAAGACAAGCGGCAGGATATTAGAAGGGATGCAGAGACCTGTACCCAGAGACCTGTACCTGAGGAACTCATTTGGGTTGAGTGAGCAATCAAGTTCACTGACTGACCATGCAGAACAGCTCCAAAAGTGGGCTTTCATTACGAACCTGCAGATATTTCATTAAGCACTCAGCGCAGGATTATAACAATAAACTGGATCTCTCAAAGCACATTATTGTGGGCTCACCTGACAAAGATATTTGTTAGAGTTCTGGAAGAGTCAACACAATAAAAAGGGAAAGAAAGGGGTTATTTGTGTTGTGTGCAGTGTATTTCGCATTTATTTTCAGCTGATGACAGGCAGTCCTCATCGTCAGGCATGCCTGAGCCTCTGCCTTCCCTTGCAGCTCATGGGGAAGCTCAGGATGAGGCTCTGTCTGAGGACTGCCTGGCCCCATGGAAAGAGAGAAAGCTGCAGCTTTGTGCTATGTGTTCCTCCACTGCATCTCGCAAGAGAGGGAGAAAAGGATTAGCAGAAGGAAATGCAGTTTAGCGGAGAGCAAGCAAAGCTGAGCTTAGTCACCCCCCTAAGTCCTGCTCTCCCGTAGGCAGCCGCTGCTGCCAGCCCTTGGGACTCGTGGCTCCGCTCCCCCATGTGGAGTTTGCGAGGGCTGCAAGCAGCCAAAGCCCGAGGGAAGCCCTGAGAAGCAGCAGCAGCTTCCAGGCTCTGCCGTGACAGAAGCGTGAGGACACCACAGGCACCGGCCATGGGCATGGCTGTCCCTCAGGCAGGGCTGAGCAGTGCCCAGGTCCCCACCAGCACAACCCTTTAACTGGAGCGAGAAAACCACGGCCATGCACTGCCTTTAAGAGAAATCCAGGCTTTAAACACTGATGGCATTGCCTCAGTATAAATGCAGATTCTCCTTTCCGCTGCTTTTTTGACCACTAGCTTTTTAGACTACTCTTTTTTATCTTTTATTTACTTCTTTTTTGTAGGAAGGAAGGAAGGAGGAGCATGCATGCATGAATAATGTGAGAAAGATAAATACGTGTGTATATATACATACACACACATTTAAACGAGCACAGAAGGGCTGAACGTCACATTTAGTTTCAGTTTGGTTTACTAAGGAGATCTCTGCTAGGCTCAGCAGCTCCCCTGCTTTTATGGGGACATGCCACATTCCCTGTCTGGCAATGCACAAATCCCATTTGTTTGTTAATGGTGGTTGCTGCATGGGATTTAAGTTTAAATACTTGGTTATGTCTGACAAATTCAGTTTAGGGGCTGAAGTTACGTAACTTGGTAGTTTACTGCACAATTTCAACTTTTATTTAACGCAAATATGAAATCCAAGCTTTCAGAGCTCCCAAGACTCAGACTCTGGGGTTTTTATGCCTTAAAATCCTCACAATGAAATGCCATAAGAATATTTAGCATTGATTTAACAAAGGCAGGGACATCAACTCCCAAAGAGTCAGAAAACCTTTGCTGAAGGGAGATGTGAGGTTTTTTGATCTATTCCACCTGCAGGAACATTTGAGCTAGCTCTCTGCTAGGGCCCTTACCCTTCTTCCAACCCAGCGTGAGGACGCAGCCTGGCACGGGGACGGGGAAGGAATTTTCCCTGGCTTTCAGCAGACGTGGCAACACACATGCTTTACTCTCTAGATCCACCCCTCCCAAAATCTTGTCACCATCAATACGCGGACTGGGGAGACAGGTCACATGAAGTTGCACCAAGCTGCTTCCACACGTTATTTTTAGCCTTGTCTGTCATCTCAGAGAGCTGCGTGTCAGAGACAAGCATGCTGCAGAGGACAGAGGTAGCTCTTTAAATAAACTCTCCTGCAAAGCCTGGAACAGGCTGTAATTCCTGTACCAGTCAGCACCATTTTCTCCTCTCATCAGAAGAAGTCTGGGGAGGAGCAATAAAAATCACTAGAATGCGAACTCCCAGAGTCTTCTGGGATGTGTATGGAAGCAAAACTCTACCAGGAGCAGAGCCTCCCCGTGCCCTGGAAGGGAACAATCCTCTCTGCCCCAAAGCCTTGCTTGTAAACAGCAATGGTAACAAGACCTGTGCCTAAAACAGAGGTACATAGATTGGAAGTTCTTTGGAGAAACATATAGGGACGATTTTTGTTTAAAGTAGTCCAGAGGCACATATCCCTGCAAGAGACACCTGCAACAGAAATGAGCCAAATACACCCCGTAATTCAGCAGAGGTTACTGATAAGCTTCACAGAGCCCTCTGCAGCTACATGCATCAGGGAGAACAGAGAAAAAGAGTGGCCTACATGTACTTATCTGGAGGCTACAGCTTCAAGTGTGAGATCTTAACTCTACATAATGCAAAGGGAGAGAGTGTAATGTACTGAAGGAAGCTGTGATGGTCAGTCTAGAGAGATATCAAAATAAGCAAGTCAAAGGCTGGATCGGCAGAGAGGTTACTAACAGGAGATAAAGCCACGTGACATTTTTAGAGAGCTGCCTCTAAAAGGATGCCTTCTTGAGAGGAATATGAAACTTCTGTTACAGCAATGCTCTCAGCCGTACAAAGAGAACACAAGTCAGAACAGCTGAAGTGCTAGGAGAGGCTTTCTGGCCTGGTACTTACCCTCTCTTTGTAGTAGAAGGAGCTAATGGAGACCTGCTCCTTCTCGCTGCGAGTTGGGCTCCCGCTGTACAAACGCAGATTGCCCGGGGTCTCCGTGCGGATCTTCATTGGGGTAATGAGGCCGCTGTGGTACGCTGATAAAGCTGACAGGGACCTAGGAACAAGAGAACGCTTTCAGCAGGAGCTTACATCCACCACGGTGCTCTGGAGGCTCAGAATGACACCTCTAACCCAAGCTGTTTCACCCTTTCTGAGGGGTGGCAGTTCAAAGAGCAGGCAGACCTCAGCTACAACACCAGGTACTCACCTGGGTGTGGGTTCTGTTGGGGACACGGCACGGTGCATGGTCATGGGCCTCGTGAAATACACCAGGTACCCTGCAGAGACAGGACACAGCATAAAGATCCCGCGACAAGGAGCAGACTGCCCGGGGTGGTGTCAAGGGGCAGGGGGCCCATCCATTTCTCTGAGTTATCAACCCAAATCCACTTCTTCCAAACCCATTAAAGAGCACATTTTGTTGAGCTGACTGCTTTAAAAGCACCAACACCAGGTGTTAGAGATGAGATGGTAGAAGAAAAGGAGCAAACACACGTACTTCTGTGTTTTAACTCTTCACCAGAATTTGTCAGTGATACCACAGAGGCAAGTGCAGCGACACACAGCTATACAGAGGAACCCTGAGAGCTGCTGTGACTCTTCAAAAGGATAACCTGAGCCAGCTGAGGCCAGCTCCAGGCACTCTCACAGGCTTTACCCCATTTGTTGGCATTTCAAGTGTCCTCAGCCACCCACTCCACTACAAGAGTTTCAGGACTTGGCAGGTTTCACTGAGCCTATTCAAAGCAGTATTACTGTTTTACTTCTGCTGGGAATTTGGTGAGGCCTATAGGAAAAGCAGCTTTCAAAACATGCTCAAATTGTTAGGTACAGAAGAGTCATGCCTGCATCTGAAACACCACAGTGAAACTTAACACCTCTTTTCAGACCTTAACCTGTTGTTTTTGGGACAAGGGAGAGGGTGCAGAATGATAAAAGAGTAGTTAATAACAAAAATACCCATTCAGCAAGGGGGTAAATTGAGTCCAAAATCACAGGAATTTTGTGAAGGCCTGAGAGCCAGAGCAGTTTGATGCTGGTAGGAGGGAAATGGGCAAGGAAAAAAGCTACTCCCAGTCTTCTGTAAAAGAGGTGTGCCAGTGCCTCTGGCAGGCCTCATGCCAAGGGCCACCTCTTCATTCAGTCCTGGGTTTCCAGATCTTAAAATTCTACATGCAACACCATGTATGCAGTTGCTAACTAGGCTCATTACCTATAAATTTATCACAATATTGCTACTTTAGTAGGGTTTCTCACTCCTTGAGTGGCAGAAACTAAAGCCTCATCTTGTTCAGAGGCCTGAGTGTTCCCCTAGAGCGACGGGGCTGACCTGCACCACAGAACCGGGCTCCCGAGGTCCGTGGAAACGGGATGTTGGAGTCCTGGTAGGAGCCATAGGCGTTGGAGACCCGGGCGAACGTGGGCAACGGGGGCGTCACGGAGTTCGACAAAGCGTAGGGATTGCTGGACGTGCTGTCCTCTTGGTTCTGAAACGGGAGATAACCACGATCAGGCTCCTGATGCCACAGGAAGGAAACCACCGGGTATCCTAGTGCCAAGCAGCCTCGGGGCTGGTGCCTCCCCTTTGAACCAAAGCAGATCAAGCACAGAGCATGGCTACTGCTCTGGCTGCAAAGGCACTTGCAGGCTCATGTACCTGTGAGCAAAGTGCTGCTCTGCACTGCTACTTCTCCAGAGATCTCTCCCACCACAGCTGTGCTGAAATTCAGAGCTCAGCTAGGGCGAAAAACTGGTCTCAGGGGAAAGCTATATAGAAAATCTGACCTTCAGACTCCAGATATGGCTCCCAAGAACAAAACAGGGAGCTGAGCTAAACCCAACACCTCCATGATGCAAGCGAGACAAAGTCTCCTCGAAGAGGAATACTTCTACAACCCACACAGCCGTGGGGGTGTCAAAAAACAGGCTGGGCACCTTAAAGGAGAAAAACAGGTGGTGTGAGCCAGGTGTGAACAACTGGGAGACCTCAAGCCTGTCCAGAGGAATTTTAGCAGAAATCCACATTTATCTGGACAAGCTGAAGAATTTCTTTAGACCTGAGCTGTAAAGGCAGCAGCATCTGGCTCAAATCATCTAATTTCCATACAAGTGGTGAGAAGTTCCCACTCACAACAGTACTGCTGAAACTAAACAGAATTCAGCTTTCCATGTTAAAAAAAAAAAAAAAACCACAACAAAAACACCTTATTTGTGATGAATAAACAAAGCCTCTTCAAAAAGAAAACTGAGGAACCTCTCTAATCTTTTCCTGAATGCTGAAAACACCCACTCTGGCACACTGCACCCACACACAGACCTAACACCTGACACTGGGATGCTGAGTAGGTATCACAGATCTCTCAGCTAAGGGCAGAGTGGGACTTGTGTTTCCCCGCAGTATCATCCCTACCAAACCTTAGCACGAAGCTTCAGAAAAAAAAAAAAGAAAAATAATAGACTTTCACAGCTTTAAAGACCTTAGAATAGGACTGGCAGGATCTCTGACTGGAACTGAGGAGGTAAAGACATCTGCCACTGCCTTTCAGACAAGAATGAATCCATCGCCTCCCTGAAAACTTATTTTCTTTCACAGTTGACAACCATGCCCTGGCAGTCAAGGATCTACTCAGAGCTGGGAAGCTACCATGCACTGCTTGGCTTCTGGAGCTGCTGTGATGCTCCAACTCCCCATAATTCCTGCTGACCTGAATATTAGTGAGCATGCAGAGTTCCCCAAAGCAACAAACCTTCAGGGCCTGATTTTCAGAAATAATGCATCTCATCACCCACTCAGTTTTCTTCAACATTAACCACCGGCGCTTACACAGATGTAGCAGCCAGTCACAGGGGTCTATTTACACATCTAATGAGGCCGGACTCTCACTGCAGAGTCAGAAGCGTGGGATGTGGGAGAAGACAACAAACTAGGGCAGAAAGCCCATGTAGTTCTCCATACCACAACAGACTCCAGCCAGGAGACCAGCTGACGCAGGCAGGGCTCCAGGCAGCTCTGGTTCCGCTTCACTTTCTGCAGAGAAGTGTCTTTCAATATCTGGAATACAAACAAGATGCAGCTTGAATCATGGTTACTTCCACACCTTCCCACATCCTTTTTTTGTCTGCAGAGCAGCAAAGTTACCAGGCTGTAGAGACTGAAGGGCCAGAGGCATCCCATAACACCTACTGGAGCCACACTGGAGTGGGTTGCACTGATGTGCTGCCTGCCTTGAGCTTTCATCAGAGCTCTGAAGGGTCACCTGGGTTCTGATCCAGGATTTGGGCTTCTGTTTTACTGTAACCCATACATTCCATACCAGTTTGTTTCAAACTGGATCCATCTCTTTCAAGAAGGAACCCAGATCAATCCATTTACCTGATATGCAGGCTTGGACCTACGCCTAAGGCTGAATTTGGTATCAAGGTAGGCAGTGCAACCCTAGCACACAGCACTGTCAGACTCAGGGGGATCGAAGCATTAAAGACTGAGGTGCTCAAACACTTAGAAATCTCTGGGTTTGCTTCCTCCCCTTGAAGAGTGATTTCTCATCATCCCTTTCCATTCAGATGCTGACCATTCCACATGGTCAGCAGAGTAAAAAAGAAAAAAACGTTTCCTCTCACCAAGGAGGACACAAAGTATTCTCCCCTCAAGCTCTGAGGGGAACACAACAAAATTCAGTGACTATAAGCCCAAAGACAACAGCACTGTATGTCTCTACCCCTACATCTCTACCATGTATCTGTTTTAATTTAGGAAACAGCCTACAACCTCACCCTTTCTTCGTGGTCCTAGGGTAAATCAAGGTTGTTGCTCCTATTGTGTTTATAGAAGGCAAGAGAGAGCAGCTCTTGTTGCTGGAGAAGGGCTTTCAGCAGCAGTAGGACTTTCTATACCAGATGATCAAACACCTGGTCTGGAATTTGTGGGGTCAGTGTAAAAAGTTCTCTAGTTTTTAAATCAGTTTGTGGGGGAGAGCATGAAGCAACAGCTGAGAAATACCATACTTTCTGTAGCTGGATGCTTATATGGTCATTTGGTCTATTAAGGGATTGGGGGAAACTGCGTGAGAAGAAGGATGATAGGAATGGTATTCTACAGGAATGTAGAATAGCAGGGAAAAACACACTCACAGTGCATTAGGGAAGGAAGGCAAATACTGGGCTGCAAAGCCAACAAATATGTCACCCTAGAGGCTCCAAAATACATTAATTCTAGCAGTGGTCTGTGGTATATCTTCATCAAGGTCTGATGTCTTACTGTGTCAGGAATCTAGACACCAGGTGCCGAGCACGTGTGTGTCTGTACAGCCCGTGTACGCTCCCCACACACCTTCAGCAGCTTGGCCTTCATGGAGGCAGTGATCGAGGTCGGGTTGATGAACTGGAAGGACGGTGCGGCATTATTGGGGTATTGGACAGGGAACATCACCAGCATCCTGACTCGGTGGTTGCCGCAGTGCACTGACACCGTGCAGCTCCGATTCACCGCATCCATCTGCGCGAGGGAAAGCAATCGCTCTGTAGTTACATCTCCAAGGACCTCTAAACTCACAGTGCCTTAAATCCACGCTGAGGGGCTGATTCCTCTGCACGCCCGTACGATGAAGTCATGCTGTTCTGAAGGGCAGCAGAACACAGTGACAGCAAAAACCTCAGGCAGAGGGGAGCAGCCGGCACCACGAGCCCTGCAGCTCCTGCAGACGGCAGCCAGCCCAAGCTGCTCCACTTCACCTGGCTGTGGAGGGCTCCAGGCCCAGTAACAGGCACCATCCAGGGTCACATCCCACTGTCTCAGAAAGATGCAGCAGGATGTGAAACCACAGAGGTGGGGAAAGAGGGCAGGCAGTGCCTCAAGCCTCCCATCCCAGGACTCTGAGGGACAGAGGGCTGAGCAGACTAAGTTCAGAAACAGCTGAAATGAGATCAGCTCCATGTACTGGAAGAAGTCACTTTGCAGTCTTGGCAGGGAGGAAAACACAGTCCAGCCTTCTTGGGATCAGTGCCAGGGTACTTGCTGAGCTGAAATGCCTCCCTCACTCCCAGTGTTTGGGATTATCCTCTTTTCTGCTACCCCCGGCCAAAAAAGATCTCGCCAGCTCAAAATAAACCTTGTTTACAGGCAGCAGTCACTGCAGCAGAAGGGTTCCCCTCAATAGGCTCTGATGAGCCAGCTTGCCCACATTCCCTCCGAGCCAGTCAGCAGAAGGAAACTCCCTACCTCCACGTTGACATTTCGGATCTGCACATTGATCAGCGAAAACTCCTGCTGCAGCGTTTGAGGCAGCCCCAGCTGGTCTGTCTTCTTCCCCACCAGGAGGTCATTCAGGAAGTCTTCTTTTAAGGCTGACAGGAGAGATGCAGAACAGACTGAGACAAGTTACAGGAGACCTCTGGCACGCGATGCCGGGAGGCAGCCAAGAGAGCAGGCTTTTCTCTGCTCCTTGAGGTATGAGTTTTACCTGGCAGAGACCTGCGAGCTGGAGGGTCTCAGCTGCTGTTTAGAGGCAGGCTTCAGAGACTTGCTTTTTAAAAACACCAAACCTGTCTGCACGCTGGTTTCCGAGGAAAGTTACAGAAGCCACCTGTATTTTGTACAGCCCTAAATGGTCTGGTCTCTACTCATCTGAGACACCTTCTCCTCCCCACACAGTACTGCCAGGGTCACAAACAGCCAAAGTGGAGCCTCTGGGTCCAGCTGCCAAAGCAGTCTCCAGGAGGAGCTCTGGTCTTTGGGATTCACACCCCACCGCTCGTGGCTTTCAGGGAATGTGTCCAAAGCAATCTGATGAATAAGGCTTTGGGAGAGAGGCGAGGGTATTTCTGGCCCTAAGAGAGGTTTAATTCATTTGATGCAGCAGTGTGCTTTTAATGTTGCAAAGCACTCTAGTGAGTAATTCTTCAAGACTCATTTAAATGCTGGATCTAACCCTCCAGTTCCCCTGGCAGTGTTTGTTCAGGAGGACAATAACCCCTCAAACACAGGACTGATTTAAAGAGCCAGGCAAGCACTGCAGGACACGAGAAATTAGGGTTAAAATAGCCAAGTGGACTGTGTCTCAGAAGAACTGGGCTCTGCCTGTTGTTGTGCCTGGCTCTTGCTCTTGCCTTGACCCTTGCGACATACCTCATTAGGACAGGGGCAGCTCCTGCTGGAGGGGATTTCGTGTGGCAACCTTTCCTAAGAAGGCCAAATATATCTTTTGATGGTGGTTCCCAAGGACACAAGGCAAGTCCCACTTACTCAGCTGTCATTCTCACCCTTGATGTTGCACAGACTACTCTTAGGGAGAAAAAAAAAAGACAAGAAATGCAGAAAGCTATCTATCCTTTACCAGGTTTTGCCTGAAAGTCACCGACTTTGCTGCTGGGACAAATATATCTGGCTTTATTGCTGCCCAGTTGCTTGCTGAATTTGGATAGGTAGGACGCTTAGCTACTCATTCCTATTTGTGATTTTATTAGTGCTTAGATATACTTCACAATAGGGAGCTGGAAAAGGGATTAAAGGAAGATCAGTGGCTCTGAGGGAAGATAATTATTTCTAACTCAAGACGCCACATAGCTTACTGAAAAGCCACCTCTGAGGTTCCTAAAATGGGCACTGCCTTCTCTTTGTCTTCTATCCCCATTCCCTTCCAATTAGCTTCTAATCCCCAGAAACCCACATATTTGTCTAGATTCCTAAAGATCTTTTATAGGCAACAGCCAGTGAGGACAGCTGTATACTGACGACACAGCTGGGGGGCTTTCTGATTTATCTGCAGAGCCCTGTTCTCTTCAAAGATCCCCCGAAGTGCTTTACTAATGTAACACGGAGACTCTGCTGCTGAAATCAACAGTCCACAATAGCTTTTAGGCTAGAAAGAACTGAAATTCCTACCTAGGGACTTGCTTGCGCATTGATCCTGAAGTCATGCTATTTGCAGCAAAATCTGCCCTGCTACAGAAAGTCATTTTTATTCTCTTTGGCCTCAAAGGAAACCTTACCAGCCTGAACCAACACCAGATTCACAAAGAAACCATGTAGGACATATGAATGTGATGTTGTCAAGGACAGTGAAAGACACTCTCCTTTGGAAAAAAAAGATGTCAGGCAGACAAAAACAAGAACCCTTCTCAATGCTCCCTGCTAGAAGCTGTGCTTCCCCACGCAGGACTGCTCGCGGTGAGCACAGGTAGCCAGGGTACTTGCCATCGTATTATAAAACTCTCACGTAGGTAGAGGTGCTGGCTACTTTTCAAAACTTGTTCTGCTGCCACACAGGAGAGTTTACAGAGGAACTTCACTGGGCAGGAAACTTCCAGTTAGGGAGAGCTACATCCCCAAAGGGACTCAGACCACCTCCTTTATTCAGAGGACAGTCATTAGACCATTTCCTCACCTTCTCTCAAATCTGTTGGCAAGCAAAAAGGACAAACAAATTGCTTTTCTGTAAACTTGCCACATGGGGATCCGTTGTAGCACTCTGCCACAATACAGAACAAGAGAACGGAATTAAAACCCAAGCTGACACAAAGCCACGGGAGAACCCAATTCTTATCCTCAATATTAGATGTAGAAAGCTCTTTAGAGGGCTTTTTCTCGTGCACATCATCACCTTGGGTCTCGGCTGATGCAACCCCTTCTGTTCTATTCTAACCTCTTCAAACACTACCACCCATGAATGTTTAACCCGGCCAGATCCTAAACCACACAAACCCTCCTTTACATTCCTGCCTTTGTTTGCCTTCTCTTCCATAAAACCAAATCAATACTTGCCGTTAAGTCCGTTCCCATCCACCTTTCTGGTGCTCACAGCCCTGCCCCTCTGCTCCGCCAGCCTTAAGCCACCTCTCCTCTACACGTGCAAAAAGACACAGCAGCTCTCTCCACACTACTTCGGTGGCTGGGAGAAGACATCTGCAACACGTCCACATCCTCAGACCAGTTCACAAAGTGACTCTAGCAGAAGGGTTGATACCAGGTAAGCAGTTTGTGTCAGAGTGCCTTCCCTTTTCTGTGGGGCTCATCTCTCAGCTTAAAACGAAACACGTTCTTAAGAAGCTGAACTGACTTTCTGATTACCTTATTCTTGTCAGGAAGTCACAGCTAAGACCTAAGGACAATGCAATTAAATGCTAGTAGTGACAAGGAAGAGACCTGTTTTAGAGCTAGAATGACATCATTGTGTTCAGGAGAAAAATTTGGAAGGACAAGCCTGAGAAACCCCTCGTGGCTTTCCGCCTCCCAAACTGGGAATCCATTGATCTTTGAAACAAGATCAGTTTTTGCTTTGCCTATGGTGTTACTTTCTTATGCCATGATGCATCATCTTCCCAACGCAAATGGAGCTCGTGTTTAGAGTTCCACAACCCATCACTTGCCTCACCTTCCTCATCCCCGTGCCCAGAGTTATGCTGGGGCTCAGAGTCCTGGGGATGAAGGGTCTTGTCTGGCTCCGACAGAAGAGAAATCCCATCAACGAGGTCATCAACGCCATCCAGGATATCGTTAGCACACAACTGAAAAGAACAAGCAGAGCCACATGCTGCACAATGGAAACCAAACCACAGAAAGAAACACCACTAAACCACTCATTTCTGGATTTCCAAGGTAGGTTTGTCCACTCAACAGTCATGGCTTTAAGACCTTGGCATTGTTACTGTCACAAGACGCGTTATTTTCCCCTTTCCACCATCCTCCCCTTTGTCACCTCAGACAGCCTGGCCAAACCTCCTGCTCCCTTACAAAAGCCACTCAGTTGACATGGCCAGTCTGAGTAACAGAGGTTTTACTTTAAACTACAGGTGAATGCCTTTAAGTCCTTAAATTAATGTGTGTGTGTCAAAAGTAATTGAATTCTTTAGATCAGATATGACAGTAGCATGCTTCCTGCTTTTGATATTTACACTCTAGTAGGATTTGGAGGCCCAGGTAAATACCACAGGCTCCAGTGATCCCAGTCCTGTACCAAAAAGAGACCATGAAAACTTGTATTTTAAAGTTCAGCACAAGAAAAGAAGGGAAGATGAAGAGAAGAAACACAGAGAAGAAAGGATAAGGTTATGATATAGCAAATTACAGCATTGGTCACCAGCAACATGTCATCGTGTGTGTAGTTTGATAAAGACCAAGAACAAGAGGGGAGCAGGGGCCAATGAGGGAAGAGACAAACACTTGATTCAAAGACAGGACATAAATAAAATATATCAGGTAGGAGTAAAGGGTGACTTTTCACAGCAAAGGTTTGTTACAGACCTGCAGGACTCCTGCAGGATCTGTGCTGGGACACATGCTTCTCAACATATTCATTAAAGACCTAGAATAGGAGGTGAATAGCGACATGACCACGTTTGCTGATGCCACCGAGTTATGCAGGGTAACTTAAGTGACTGCCAACAGTCACAGAAGAACCCTACAGGAGGAACTGCATTAAAATGGAAGATGAATTTCAGTTCGGATAAATATAAAGCAATGCATACAGGCAAAAAATGGCAAATTCAAGCTGAGGGAACAAAACAGAGGCCAGACTAAGCTGATGTTTTCATGGAATTATGCCCAGCAATTTAAAAACAAACTGAGTATGGAGAATTCTTTGCTAAGAACAAGTTCTGATTCCCATCCCAAAAAGGATATAGTAGAACTGAAAAAGGGTTGTGAAAGACAAAAGGACGATCAAAATTCTTGTACGGGGGATGACAGAAATCAAGACCTTTTGACCTGACAAAGGAGGCAGCTGAGGAGGGATATGATGGAGGTTTACAGAATCATCAGTAGCACAGACAAGATGGTGTAAGATTGGCTGCTCATTTCTTTAATAAGAGCTAGTACGTTTCAAACAAAACTAGCAGGTAGCAAAGGAGCTGTTTTTCCACACAACATGCAGAAAAGCCATGAAACTCCTCATCACGGGATGTTTAGGATGACAGAAATGTTCACAGGTCCAAGAAAAGACAGAACAAATCAAGGGAAGTGGAGTCCATCGAGCTCCATTAGATACAAAGATCGCCAGGCTTGGTAAGCCTCTTAAGCTGTCAACTACAGGAGCCTGGGAGGGCATGTGAGAAATGTCACTCCATACTTGCCTCGTTCTTATCCTCTTCCAAGACATCCCCAGCTGAAGATGAGCCAGAGGAAGCAACATGGGCCATGGTGGCCATGTGAACCTCTGGTCTGTCGCAGCAGAGCTGTCCTAGTGATTGCATCAGCACTCTGCAACTGCTGCCAGGCAGCACAACAACAGGACACACGCTGCCTGCACCAGGCTAAGAGGCAGTGGAAACACGGGAGGAAGCAGAGGGCATGATCCCTACATTTACCTGGTACCTGGAATGCCAAAAAAGAGCCTCGTCTGGCAGCCGCAGAGGCAACACAGGTAGTAACTGATCTCCACCTTCCCCAAATGCCTCATATGGTTACTGTTAGATGACAAAGTGCCTTGGCACACACAGAGGCCTCAGCACAGGTCTCCCTGGGGATGTTTCTGGCCACACCTGGGCTGGAGTTAAAGGGGGGAAGTAAAGTGGTGGCTGGTTGCTCAGCATCTGCAGCTCTAGGATGCCAGAGGAGTGACTGGGAGCGCAAGGAAGGGGAGGTGAATCCAGCCTGTAGGAAAACTGCCTCCAGTTTAAGAGTTACAAGTGCTTACGTACCCGCTGCAGCTGCGAGTCAATCCGCCACATCCGCAGGGTCTGATCGCGGGACCACGTAACCAGCTGGTAGTCTTTCGAACCTAAAAAGGACAGAAACTTATAGACCCAGCTGAAAGCAGGGCCCATCGCAGCACTGCTGTTAGTGTAAACAGACACAAGCAAGCCAGCAGGGAGGATAAGGCACTAAACAAAGGCAGAGCTCACGAGTCCTGTCCTGCCTTGAACTGACCCAGGCTCATCAGCCTTTATCCCTCCTGCACCAGTTACCACACCTCGAAACGGGGCATAATTTACAGGATAGAATGAATGTGATACCAGTTTTCCAACTAGGATCGAACAGGATCAACTACAATGCTTATTTAACCAGAAAAAATAATGTAGTAGAGAAATGGATTTATTTTTATGAGAGCTGCAAAGTTGAAACAGGTGATGAGCTAAAATATCTCCATGCAGATGTTTTTGCAGCATTTCTAAGCTACAGCAGCTGGTTCTATCCTTCCTCCCTTTCCTTCTGAAAGACGCAGATAATGCCAAGAGAAGTTCAAGTTGTAACAAAATACATCTAGCCACATACTATCTATCAGCAGATAAAGGTATCCAGACTTATTTATGTCCACGCTTAGGCCTTGTGATACAGTTTAGGTTTCCCTTGTCAAACAGCTGCCGTGTTTAAGAATTTGCTACTGCACAGCTGCTTCCTACGCCCCTCTGCTGAGGCACGGGGGCTGTCTAAATTCAGCACAAAAGATTTTGTGGAAGGAGAGCCGAGCTATCTTGGTTGCCTGCACTGATGCAGACTAGGAATGCTTGTGTGACTGATTAATGTTGCTTGAGATGAGGATGACTTCACGCCTTGGATATGTATCTAGGAACTCGGCTAAGAGCACAATCATAGTTCAGGTCTGCTCAATTGTTCAGACAAGCTGTCTTAGGCTGCACCTTGGTGCACAGGCTCCAAGGGCAGGAGATTACAGCACTGAACATCCCAGAGAACTAGCACAGGAGTCCTATTCACCCACAGTGCAGAGAAGAAACCAACTCCCAGCTCAACTTTGAGCCAGCATCCTTGCTGATCTGGGCTCTCCCATCACGTGTGTGCTTTTACACAGCGCTGCAAAGCAGCATCAAAGCCAGGCATGCTCGTTCTGTCGATGGCAGCTGAGGTTTCTGGAAACAAAGCTGTGCTCTGTGTCATTATCCAACCTCTAACATGGAATTTCCTATATTTAGCTGCCTACACTGGAAAATTGAGTCAGGATTTAACTCTGACAGCAGCCTCCCATCCCACGCTCTCCTTCCCCTGCCATTGCCAGCACACCACAGATAAGGCAGGTGCTGGGCGCGCCAGTTCTGGGGCTGGGATATGCTGGAGGCTGTGATCTGGGCAGCGATGTGAGGGGTTAACTGGGTGCCTGCGGCTCTGAGCAGGGGGAGGGTCCCCGTGCTGTACACCCACCTAATTGTTGGTACAACTTATTCTGAAAGATCCATTTAAACCAGACTCGCAGGGGAGAGGAAGCAATTAAGAGTCACCGCTGACCCACTCGGCATTCAGTGGGTTTGCTTCGTTAGCATGGAAACAACAGGGAAATACTTCTGTGGCCGCTGCCATAAAATCAGTACAAAACAGCTGTGACTTGAGGGAGATGGCAGGCAGGGATGGAAGGCAAGTAGGAGCTGCTTCAGGGAAAGGCAGGAGCCAAAAGGTGATGGCATGAGCATCGCAGCCAGGAGTCTAGCCTCTGCACCCATGGAAAGCCAACGGGTAGCAGCGCAGGGGAAACACACCTGGTTCTAGACTCACCTTCTTTCTGTTTCCTCCACTGAAACTCCAGCACCACGTCATCGTGCCCCACAAAAGTATGCACAGGCGTGTTCAAGTCAAAGACATTCCAGAGCAGCAGACTGTTCTCTCGCCGGAGCTGGGGGACCATCACTGTCACCAGCCCGTTGCTGAAAGGCTTGAGAGAGAAACACCCTCCTGGTTAACCTCGGGGAGTTATGCTCCCATGCTGTCAGCGTGCCCTGTAATTCTTTCTTTCTGCCATTAACAAGAACAAATTGGTTTTAAAGGAACTCAGCACTAAACAGAAACAGGCCTAAATCGGGAGAGGTTGGAAGGCAAGAGGCTGTTGTGCAAAGCCAGCATCTTACAAGGGAAAAGATATAATAAGCTCAGAGGTATTCACTGCAGCCCACTTAAGATTTGCCATTTCTTTCTGCTTCTCCCTGACTTCTCAGCTGTGAGGCTGCAGGGGTTTCACCACTGACTTTTCACATGGGATCCTCACTGCAGCTTGCCAAGAACTGCAATAACTGCCTCCTAGGGACCGAGCCCTGGCAGCTGCTCAGGGCCACACTGTAACCCACTCCCACAGCCCCACTAGGGGATGGGGAAAGGGGACCAAAGCCTCAAGGCACAGCACTGACTTAGGACACATCCAGATGGCCAGGGAAGAGAACAAAAATAACTGATGGTAAGAGTCTTAGCTTCATACAACTGGCTGCTTGCTCTATAAGGCAACAGCTCTTGGATCTGACATGCTGTAAGAGCCCACTGTGGCACACTTAAAGGTCCTGGGAGCAGGGCAAGCCCTCAGAGAGGGCAGAAGACTGTTGCACTGCTCTGTGCTGCAGGTACCAGTGCTGGACTTGAACAGAGAAACAGGACAGCGAGAGCAGCAGCTGCTTTCTGAGCCTCCTTGCTCCCACCCACACCTGGGTTTTATCCCCAGGACGATGATGCCAAAGACTGGGGATCTCACTCTGCCAGCAATTCCTTCTCCCAGGTGCCCCCACTGCAGATATTGCTTTTCTTGGCCCTTTAAGCACCACAAGGGATTTTAAAATCAAGTTAACATCCAGAAGAAGCGTTGAGAAGCCCTTCAGCAGCTCTTTATTTAATGTGCCTTCATGCATTCGCTCTCACAGCACAAGTGGGGCTGGTGGGTGTTTCTCACTCACCGTGTATCTTGCCTTCCAGACGGGAACCTGGCAGGGAAGGATATTGAGGTATTTTCGAGGCTGACGGTAATCCCAGAACTTCAAAAAAAAAAAACAGAAAGACAAGGAAAGGCACAAGTCAGCTGGCCATACTTTTAAGCTGCAGTTTTCCATGTGGCTCGCGGATAGAACAGTGAGAAACATGCCAGGGTGCCCCCAGCATCATTAGTAACCCCATCCATTAACAGCCGAGATGGCCCCAAAGGATGAATATCAAGCTATCAGCATCTGGCAGCAGCTCTTAGACAACGAGCAACTTGGGGTCATGCTCACAGTGATCAGAGCTGGAGGAATTAGAGCAGGGAGCCAGGCAGCCTGCTTGGGCTTTCAGAGCTACAAGGTACCCCGCAGGCTCCTAGCCAATGTGCCAGCCCAGGCTGGAGGCAGGCCCGCCCTGCTGTTACTGCTCATTTCGTAATGAAGAACCTAACCTTGGGCTTTGCTAGAATACACATCAATTGCACTCACCTCAGAGCTCAGCTAAACGTGAATGGATTCCATTTGGCTGACGTACCAGGCACACTATTACCCCCACTACCCCCCATGTGAAAGGCTCTGCGTAGCAATGCTTGCAGGCTCACTGATAACCCAGCCTGACATGAGTTTGGGAACCCCAGGGGCTGCAGCAAATCTCACACCAAGCTGCTGTGATCAGCTTGAGGCTGCCAACACCACGTTTTGGGTGGAAGGCTCTTCTGGCGAGCGCCAGGCAGAGGCAGTTTTTTCAGCTTCAGTACTGCCCAAATCACTGCAGGCATGTTAACCATGGCAAGCAGACGTGCACCCATCCTGCAGTGACTTCTGTGTCTATTCCACAAGTGTGCCCCTGGCTCAACGCACACAGGCTGCCAGAAAGCCAAAAATAAGGACTCAGATCCTGCCAGGAGGATGCACTTCCCAAAGCAGCAGCAGGGATGTGCTCCACCACCCTGACACCTCCCAGGCAGGAGCCCCAGCAGCAGCACTTACCCGCACGGAGTTGTCCTGGCTGGACGTGGCCAGCGTGTACTCATTGTCAGGATGCCAATCCAGGCCGTGGATCTTCGAGAGATGAGCTGCTAAGTATTCCACCGCAGTGCTGGGTTTCTGGAAGGAGACATTTTCATTCTCAGCACGGGACTTCTGAAATTTGGTCTAGTTCTTTGGCATAAAAAGAGACGCTTTAACAAGGGCAGGAGGTAGAACACCCTCCTCCCAGGGAAAGGCACTAGCTCAGCAAAAGTAGGTGAAGGAAAAGTGCTGTGAAAGGTGTGGCAAACTCCACAGCGACCGAGTGCAACCCAGCACCACGCTTTTATGCTCAGTAAAGCAGTTGAGTACTCTGAGATCAGCAGCAAAGTGTAAAATGGACATAATTTCTGGGGAAGGAGGTTATCTACACAGTCTCTTCAGCCTCCTGAGCTCCCAAGGGTCTCTGGTTTCCCTCTAAGTTTTCTCTAAATCAGCCCACAAAAGACTGGGGATAAAGCAGTTTTTTTTTTTCTTGGTATTTATCTGTGACCAGAGGGAAACCTGCATCAGGGTGGTGGGAATATACACGGGTGGCTCAAGAGAGCCTCAACTCACCCTTTTGTCCCATATTCGGACATCCCCATCGTGGCTTGTGGCTAAACAGTTGGCATTCTTCTTGTTCCATTTGACCTGGGAAGCTCCAGCTGCAACACAAACAGGGCAGGTCAAAACAGGCAATTAACAAGTGGCACAGCACGCTCCTCACCTCTCCTTGGGGATGCTCTTAGCACAAGAAAGTCCTTCAGAGGAAAGATATCCCAGAAGCCAGCATGAAGGCTGGCTGAAAGTGAGTAAATCCTGATTCCTCAGCTTAATGTTGGTGCTCTGAAGACCTCAAAGCACATTCCAGGTGCGTGCTGTTGTATCACAGGTTGCACCGGATTAAAATATCCGTGTCATTAGCTCAGACGGAACAAACTTCTTCCATACAGGAACTGCAGGTTCATCGCTCCCCTCCCAAATCCCTTCTGTTTTCATTCAAGCTGCTTCCCAGTGCCCACAGACAGATTCATTTGTTTCCTCAACACCCTCCGTGCTCTCTGATGCAACACAGGACAACAGTGTCCTGCACCTATCACTAACACAGAGCTGCGAGAGAAGACCGTGGTGCAGGTGGACCACGAGGCTGGCCAGCTGGAGGCGAGCACACCAAGTGGCTCAAAGGGCCCACCTCAAAAACTGGCAAAATACACCAAAAGTCAAAGACATCAGTGGCATTGTACAGAAACTGGGTGGTCCAGGTATCATGAGGGACTCAGTCAAGGGCCTAAACCAGAGGTGGGCTGCTTGCTTCTGATATGAAACAAAATTAGGCTTTGGTTAGCATGAACTGTTCAGAATTGGAAGAGAAACGTGTGCTCTGTTCATCCTTACTCTGCAAGTATTTTCCAAACATTTTACGCCATCAAAAAGGTGAGGTCCATGAGAAAGCTACTAAACAGATCTCAGAGCCTGCTGCTATGCCTTTGTTACCTACCTCCTGCTGCACGGGGAGCAGACTCACCCTCCCAGTCTGGCAAAAAGCTAGCCTGGGGGAAAAAGAGCTGCAAACAGGCTGTGCTGATTGAGCTGATCCACTCACTGAGGGGTACACAAACGTCTGGATTAGCACTAAAGAGAACCAGGCTTGGGAGGAAGGAGGCTTTCTGGGGAGCTGGCTGTTGGGCTGGCTCGGCTGACCTGTGGAACCTCACCCCAGGCACCAGAACATAACACTGTGTCTCTGATTCTGCAAGGTTTTTGCTGCTTCTCTCCAGTTCTGCAAGGTTTTTGTTGCACTGTGGCCGAGAGGCTTACCAGCTGGGAAGCAAGGAGAGGCTGCAGATGTGCAGCCTACGGAGCCGAACCGAGCAGCAGAACACGAGATGCGTGTTACGAGGACTGCTGCAGTGCTGGGATCAGTACCTCAGGAAAAGGACGTGTTTTCCTCGTCATCTGCACTTCACCCTCCTCCAGCACCAAGCGGTCGGGACTGACAGGCGCTGGCAGGCGGTGATACAGGCAGCACTGCCAACAGCCATGACAAGCGCCTTTCCAGAGCAGGTGCAGCCCACAGGAAGGGTTTTCGTGTCATCGCTGCAGCTCCCAGCACGCTGAAGGTGCTCCAGGGACGCACAACGCTGCCTGTTGAAGCTCCCAGCCCCTCAGCGTGGCAGGGTGGTTAAGTAGGGTGGAAGCTGTTCACATCCAAGAGGCACAAGTGCCTGCTGGCTGGCAGGTGGAGGAACACAGAAGCTCCTTTTGTTACCATTCACCCTTTCCTAAAAATCAGCAGCACCAGGGAACCCTTCCTCTTCATCCTTACTCACATCCCTCCTGCATTCTGCTCCTCCAAAAGCAGCTGTGAACCAAAGCCTCTCAGGCTGCTGCATGGGACAATCACACACGGTGGCACTTCTGTACCCCGCCACGTTCAGCCTCAGAGCACGAAGGAAGAAAGGAACAGCAGCAGGGGTGCACGACGCTGAATTTATGTATTAAACGTGACAACATCACACACACAGAGCATACTTACCGACTGCAGAGAGCGAGACCGTGGGCTTCCTGGTGTCTCTGAAACACAAGGTGGTGAATGTGAGCACCCAGGGCACAGCCCAGCGGGCCCAGCCTCCCCAGGGAGCTCCTCGCTGCGCCAGGACTAATTTGATTGCTGCCTCTTGGGAGTTAATGTGCCTCCTGCTTACTTAAATTGTAAATCTAAAACTCAAATACGCCACAATAAATGGAATAATCAAGAAGTAATGAGCTGGAGGACAGCAGCCATTATCAGCACAGAATGCAGCAACAGATTTAGGACCTAGGATGGAGCAGGAGGGGACGTGAGGGAAGAGAAACACGTGCACTGGGTGGCATGTGGCTACCAGGCAGGCAGAGGAAACACTGGGCTCACTGAAGTTGTTAAGGAAGCAACAAAACCACCCTTCCCAGGAGAACTGAAAGGAACAAACAGAGCTGTGGAAAAAAAAATCAACAAGAGCCACGGATGTGTTTGTCGAGCCCTTGCAGACCCTGATTCAAGGCAGATGGAGCAGTGACTTCAGAGCAAAGGCTGCATGTCCAGGATACAACAACATTAACAGGATGTAAACCCAGCTACACAGACTCTACAGACCAATTTCTGTGGTGGTACAAGCCAGTGTGGCACCACAACAGCTCACAGCAGCCAGGACATGAATCAAGGCAGTAATTCAATCCTTGACATTGCTCCTCGGGAAGTCACCTGCCCTTTCGGGAAAAAAATGCCAGCAGAGACAAGGAATAGTGTCTTCAGCTTTTCAGGTTAGCTGAAAAGCCAAGTATTTTCTGGAATGAACTGCAACTCTCCTACCAAGAATTTCTGTCTAATCAGAAAGTTGTTTTGTAGGAAAACATAAGTGGGGAACTTCCAGCTCCTCTGACTGCAGGATTACTTCCCCAGAGCTTCGTTAGAGGCTTCACCAGGATGTTCTCTTGCTGGAGGCCAGCAGCCCTCGGGACACACTGCTCTTGGACATTCAGACCTTGCTAGTCAGTACAGGCAGGATGCAGACGTGTCAGAGACTAAGCAAGCATTTTGGGACATTTTTGATACACACAGGCACAAAATGGTGGAAGGGCAAAGCAGAGTTAAAGCAGGGCTCCTGACACAACCTTCAGAGACTTTTTTTTTTTTTTGCTTGGCACTAAGATAGTATCACAGGAAAACACAACCAGCAGTTATTGTCTCTCTGTCTTTTAATTACACATTAATAATATATTGCCACTCTCAAGCACCGTTTAACCAAGGATCTAAGTGCTTTGTAGGAGCTAAACAAGCCTCAGGGTACCCTGGTGCAGTGGGGTTATATAATTATCCTTCTATTATAACTGAGCAAGGGAGGCAGAGAGGAACAAAGTGACTTGCCAGGGGTCATAAAGAGTTGCTGTGCAGCCAGCACGAGGACCCACGAGCCCCAGTGCCAGCTCCCTGCTTCCCAGGTATAAAATGTGGGGCTTTAATACTGGCGGGTTTGGACGGATCTGCTACTGTGAAATTACTCATGATAGAAAGCACCAGGAATGCGGGGAAGTCATGAATTGGAAAAGGTTCCTGAACAGCGCTGCCAGTCTTCACAGAACTGAGGGAGAGTCAGCTCCAGTCACTGAATTTAGAGGAAAATGACTGCAGGATCATGAAATGGTGCTCACTCACTCAGCTAAAGGGGAAAAGAAATCTTGAGGAACACCCTTGGGTTCCAGGAGAAGCTTCCAAGGAAAGCTCTGAAGTAGCTAGGGAGAGAAGGCAGTCGGTATTTTTTCCCCACTCAGGAGTATGGCTGTGACTAAACCAGACCTGCTTCCCTTCACTGACTCTGAGCTGGCTTGGAAGGAGGGGACCAGAAGCCACCTTCGAGGTCATGGGAAGGGGACGGAGCCCTTTGTAAGCAAAGCTGAAAAGCAGCACCCTTCAGTGCGTGCTTTACCCTGCAAGCTGCTAATTACAGAAACGAGCCCAGTGATTTCCCGGCAGTGCAGAGGCAGACTGCTTCTTACTTGATGTCCCAGATGTAAATGTATGTGTCAACGGAACTGGTGACCAGCAGGTCTGGCTCAAACACCGCCCAGTCCAAGTCACTGCAAATGCAAAGTCAGAGTGGGAAAGCAGAGACAAGCAGTTAGCATCAACAATTAAGTAAACAACAAGATCTTAATCATTTTTCTAAGTAAATTCCAAGAAGCAATGACATACTTCTAGGTAAATTCCAGTGAAACATCCCCCTGGCCCCGAGCTTTATAGCTGTCACACGCGCGTGCTCTTTCCCCCACAGGAACAGGCACACTGCGAGCTCCCTGTTACCACACATTTTTGGCATCAACCCTTCATTCTGGAATGCCTTCCTGTTGGGCTCACCAGGTGCACCTGGGACACAGAGAGCCTCCAGGCAGCCAAACAATTTCATTTCCTGCGATTACTTTTCATAGTCAGGAGCTGGAGTAAGAACACCGTGTCACCTGCCCAGCACCAAAGCACACCCCTGGAACTGCAGGCAGAGATCTTCCATGCACCACTAACCCACCGTAAACTCCATCTGTGGGATTACCTGCCTTAATTCAGCTCTATCACACAGAAACATGGCTGAGATTCAATTTAATAAACATGCTGCTGCTATCTGATTTCCCTGCTGATGGTCCTGTTTATTACAAGGACAGCAGCCTAAGGCAATGACACTAAAGCCATCAAGGGCTGTGTGGATATTCTGCGGGAGCCACTTCACATCTGACATCTTCTCCAGACGGGAAGGCAAGGCAGAAGGGCAGAGAGCGAGTAAAAACAGGCTCAGAGTAGAACCTGAGCAGGGTCAGGACCGAAACATTCACTTTTCAATGAAACAACTCTTTGTTTTCCACCCAGCAGTTCACAGCACGGCTTGTTCCTCACCTGATCACGCGTGTGTGTCCTTGCAAGGATGTGCAAACTTCCCCGTTGCCTTCCTTCCACTTATACAGGTCAACTCGCTGGTTGCTCTGAAATTAAAAGGCAGAAAGAAGACAATGGCAGGCAAACAAGGCAGGGCAGGAAGCCACGTGCCAGGACCAGGCTCCTTTCCCTTTGAATAACCTGTTGCCAATCAGTCCCATTGTGGAGAGCAAAGGCCTTGCCCAGAGGAGGAGAACAAAGATGAACCTACAGGCTGCAAGGACTCAAAAGCCTACGCTTTAATCACATCCACTTAAAATTGGAGATAAACAAGAACGGGAGAAAAATCACATTGCAAAACGTTTCCATGAAATGATGTTCTCAGAACTTGTATTTCCTAACAAGCAGCTGTAACTGCAGGCAGCCAAATTCTCTCCGCAGGAATACCCTGCCAGTCTGCTCGCGTTCACAACCAGTCCTCAGCGAGGGAGATGATGGATCACCACTGGTCCTCCTCAACATCCCCTCAATTCCCTCCTGCGATAATCAGGGCCGCTGCAAAATGAGACCAGCACAGCCTGACGGCTTCAGGGTCACCTCCTCAAGGGTACTTCCATTGTTGCCAGCCCAGAAAAAAAAAGAGCTCAAAGTGCTTATCACTAACCGTAAACCACAGGAGAAACCAGATGAATCAATGACAATGTTATTTAGGGCTTCTTCACTCATTCCAGGAATAAATCCTCCCCCAAACCCAGCCACACACACAGTTATTTGAAACTAGCTGTTGTACTTCAAGATCATGTTCTGCCTCAACCAAAATTTACTTCTTGCCCCCGAAAGATCAGAGCAGGCCCGGGCTGAATTGCCTTTTGGGGTGCTTAAATAGCACCAAGCGCTGTGGGTCTTGAGCCCTGACTGGAAATTCATGTTGGTTTTGCAAAAATCAAAATAATAGCTCTTCAAAATTTGATCTTCATTAGCCCCTCATTTTCAAGCGTACATGCAGACAAGGATAAAGATAATAGAGACCAGACAAATTTTACAGTCTGTGGCCTTTTTTTCCTACCCCAAAGCTGCTTCATAAGAATTTGAACTTGCAAACGGATAAAACACTCCAGCCTTCCCTGACATGGAAGGCCTCCTCCCAGCTCAGCAATAATACATGGCATTTCTCTAACAGCTCACAGCAGGGCTGCACAAGAGCTTGGGGCAAGGAAAACTCCTTGCATGTTTCTCACTGACAGAAAGACTTAAGAGAGGAGAGTGGAATTACCCAACAGGATTTGTCCAGGACTCCAGAGGCGATGCTACAAGATAAGAACCACCAGAAGTGTCTCAGGCTTTTAGTGGGGCATCTCACCTGGAAAGCACTGCCTGTGGCACCAGGTGTGGCAGAACTACCTCCTCCCACCAGAAGCACTTCTTATAAAAGCGCTTTTTATAAAAAAGTGCTTCTGATGATAAGAGCACAAACTTCCAACGATTTCATCACCCTCTTCAAGCATTTGTGACCACACAACAAGAGTAACGAGGATTTAGCACGGAAAACAATGGCATTTCTAAACAACAGCTTAGGACTCCCCAGAAACGCGCTCAAGCCAGAGGACGTGTTTCAGCTCTTCTGGAAGGAAGCCAAAACAAGGAGAAGCCCTGATCCAAGCACAAGGACAGGCTCCCCCTCTGTCTGCACCGTTTCCAGTCAATTGCACTGCAAAGCAGGTAAAGCTTTTTGCGAGCAGGACGGAAGCCTCTGAACGGGGATGCAGAGGGATAAGGACCCTCGGGACTGTCTATAAGACCTGCGTGGTGCACATCAGCTGGCTCCGTGTGACGACTTCATCAGAGGACTCACGGAGGATCAAAAGCCAGCCTGAGTCCAAACAGAGCCAGCTGCATCTTTACAGCGCTGAATCTGAGCTAATTTAGCCTTCCTGATATAATTTCACCCCCCTAGGCACGGCCCTGCACAAGCACATCCAGACCTGACCGGGAAGGCAGACCCGAGCACACAGCACCAGTCCCTTTCCACTTCCAAACAGGACAGGCTAAATTCCAGTCCCAGGGCAGGGCCACGCTGCATCAGCACCGGGACGCCAGCTAACTGGGAGACGGCTGCTAGGGAGGTGTTCCTCACCCGAATTTGGAAACCTGCCTGATTTCATCTTGGGGATCCCTCGCCTGATGTGCATCAGCAACTACTTCTTAGTATCTTCATTTACAACCAGGAGCAGCCAGGTTTGATGCCACCTACGACTAGCTGAATGGAAGGATGGCTGCTGAAGGCTTCTACGAGCAGGCAGGAACTTTTAAGACATCATTCGTGCACCAGAGCTGGCAGGAGAAAGACTGGGGGTCAAGGAATGTCAGAGAGCAAACTGGGAAAGGCTGTAACTGGCACCACTGGTCCTGTTTTCAGGCCACCTTCAATGTCAGTAGTAGCCAGCCCTGGAGGTAAAAGGAACAACAAATCCCTGGGAATCATCTTCAGCTCAGTGTTTTCTCAAAACCATAAATGAAACCTGCCCACCCCACCTATTTCAGGATGCAACAGCAAAAATGTCTGCGAAGAAAAGAAACGTTTATGCCCAACTAGTGCCAGTAGCTACCAACCACAGCGCTGCAGCACAGGCTGCTGCTGCCAGGAGCTCAGCACGCTGAGTGAACGAGCTACAGGGCACAACAGGCTGAGTAAAGAGCCACAGGCTGTGCTCAAGCCTCAGATGGCCACGAGACCTGCCCTTTTTAAACACTGTTTGCACGGCTGCTTCTTCAGACCAGCTGATTTACTTCTCCACACACAAAATAAGAACTCCTTGCTGACCTGGTGCCTGCCCATCTGCCAGCCCGGGTCGTTACAGCGGTGAGCCAGCATTGACTGGTGCTATTTACGGGCTGCCTGGTGCACCACATCCCACCAGGAAGGCAGGCAGGGGAAAACGAAACAGCACAGAGCAAGAAATTCAATACGTGTGCAGATCTCGTAACAGAACGGAGGGCAGAAACAGAACATCCCCTTCCCTGCCAGCAAAGGACCGGCTGGACGCCTGATTTACCTGGCAAGGTGCTTTACAAAAGACAAGGAAGCAAAACCGGGCTGAACAATAACTGAGAGCCTGCCAAGCCCAGCGCCTCACCTCGCTGGCAGCAAATCAGAATTTGCTTCACCTTGCTACGGGACTTGCAGAGGCACGCCCGTGCCAGCCCCACACAGCCCTCCCGGTACAGTTTCACCCACGAAAGCCTGGGGAAGAGCACGAGCTGCAGCTTTTAAACGAGTGAGCTTACCGAAGCCGCGAAGTAGTAGGAGCAGCTGTCGTGGGGGTTCCACTGCACCGCCCCGATGTCCCACTTGCTCTGCCGGGAGATCTTGCGGTGACCCTCGTTCGGGGCATCCAGGTTGACTATGTAGAGGAAGCGGCGGCTGCAAGGCAGAGATACAACAAGGCTGCATCACACGCTCCTTATCTGCAAAGCACAAGCTCCCAGGGAACTTACAGCCTGGTGACCAGAACCCTAAGGGAAGCTTTTAACGAGCTTTGTGAAAAGACCTCCCTGAGAAGGCTACGTTTGACCACATAATTCCAAAAGGAATATATTTAATAAAAAATAAAAATCAAGACATGGAAATTGGACAGAATCTGAAAATGCAGTGGGCAGCTCAGACCATAGAAAGCTGCATAACTAGGGCACAGAAGGAAGCACTGGGAAACGGTGCCCTGGCAGAGGTGGCTGAGGGTTTTCACACCACACAGCTTGGGGGATTGGTTCTGCAGAGGGTACAAGCACAGCCAGGGCAGAGCTAGCTCAGCTGCAGCAGCTCGTCGACATGGGTGGACACAACCCTGCACTGGCCTGGCCGCATTACTGACCTGAGCTCACCCTATCTGCAGCAGCGAGACGTTTTGGATGATGCTGCAGCTGAGCTCATCCGTCCTGCTGGACCCGGCCCGCTCCCCGCAGAGCGAGGTGAGGCATCGCTCCCTCCAGCCTGATTCACCTTGGGAGCGAGATAAACCACCCAGAAATAATTGTAAGGCAGCCGAGCCCTAATGGAAGACCAGCCCCAAAATATAGGGAGCCATACATCATTAACCACGTCAGCACCATGTATGTCAGCTGCACAGCAAGCTCACAGCTGCTCTCAGCACCGTGAGTTTTCCCCAGAGAAAGAGCAGAGGGAGCACCTTGGCTGCCTTTCCACACCAAAGCCCTCGGGGCTACCAGCTCTGAAGATGCTGGAGCCTCTGAGGCTCTTACCCAGCTTTAATAAGACAGGAGGCGAATGCTGCTGGAGAAGCCTGGAAGAGCAGCTGGAGCTGGTGCTGAGTAGCAGGCTGCCCTCAGCTCGCTTCTGGCCCAAATAAATTTGGAGCCAGTGCAGGTGTAAGAACAGGCAGAGTCAGACCCAAACCCAAGAGCTGGCTGCCTCTGCGCAGGGCTCTGCATGGAAGCAAGAAGGCCTCCGAGCTGTGCCCAGCCACCCCTTTCCTCCCTGACCAACCAAAGGAATTGGAAAGGAGCATCCAAATCGGTGTGGTAACCAACACAGGACGGTGGCAGCTGGGCAGGCTCCTGCTGAGCACCCAGTACGGTGCCTCAGTGTCCCCGTTACGGCCCCCTGGAAGTCCCACAGCTGGTTTATCAAAGGTACAGAGACAGACGAGGCAAGGACCAGCACACACAGGGACACATCGCCGTCAGATGGGCCCTGCTAACACCTCATGGCAACGGTAAAGGGAGATGGGAGAGCGTGGGGTAGAAAACAAGCCCTGAGAAACCACTCTCAGTGAGGATCATCCCCCACTGAGCCAACCAAGGCACAGGGCAGAGAGCTTGGCTCCCCTAACATACCACCGGGATCTCTGGGGCAAACTTCATCTCGAGCATATGACTTAATCCGTATTTTCATGGAAAACACATCAGGGCAGTCACAGCAGTGCTTTATTTCACTGTTGGTGCCGGCTTTAAACTCCAAATCCCATGGGAAACAAGCCCCGGATCCTCTTCACGAAGCCCCGAACAGAACTTAGCTGCGCCTCTCCGAAATATTTCATCAGCCCTTGAGCTGAGGGCAGCTGAAGGCTGCTGACGGGGCTCGGGGCAGGGCCTGGCACACAATTTTAGCAGGACTGTCACACTCACCCCGAGAGGACCGCGTGCTGTCCCAGGCAGTCCACTGACATAGCAGTTGCCTGTTAAAGAGAAACAGAGAACAAGACTAAATCATCGCTGTCAGGGCAGCCTCGCAGTCACAGGCACAGCTCCGGGGGGGCTCAGGGAAACCCACAAGCTCATCTGCAAGGCACCAACTGACACGGTAAGGGTCAAAGCTGAGAGCTCAGGGCTGGCAGAAGTAACATCCTTATGGGATCAGAAGGGTGACGGTGTGACAGTTGATTTGGGGATGCACAGAGAAAACTTCATTTTATTTATTTATTTTTTTTAAGTAAAATGAAGCCAAGATGTGGCAAACACCACGACGAGCACCGAGACCTTGCTCTGTTCTCCCTGCTATGGCAATCACAGCTGCTGCCGTTCAATCAGCAAGCTCTAATAATCCTTATTAATCAGCCCCTGCTCCTGCTCAGGAGCTTGCTCAGCCTCTCTCTCTTCCATTGCAGGGCCAGATTTAATTATATAGGCACTGGGAGGTAGACATGCAGCCATTTGTACGTGGCTGGTCTCCGAACAGGATGGCTAAGAGGCATCAGAATTCACTCCTCGTGCAGGAGGCTGGGATAACTTAAGTGCCATAAGGAAAAAAAAAATAGACTGAAAATTGTCTCCACTCTCTTCATTCAGAACAGAACTGGACAACAATCTCGTTTACTTGCCCAGAGACCAGAGGGAAATTTGACTTGAAAAGCTGAGCAGTTCGCCCCATAGACATAGATCTGACTTCAAGGCAGATTTTAGCACCGGCAGCACATGAGCAGGATGTGCCCCACATTCTTCAGCCTCGCTGCTGTCATCTTCAAAGCCGCCCGTCTGAAGGCTCCGCGTGTCCCTGCCGCTGCTCGCGATGCCGCTAAGTACTCTCAGCACGGATCCTACACGACTTCAGGATGTCCCACAGCTGCTGCTTCGGAAGCAGCACTAAAAGCAGACAGCCAGCACAGTGCAGTCCCCTTCCATTTCAACCAGATTTGACAGAATCTTTGTTTTTTTCAACCCTTCTGAGCACTGTCCTGTCCTCAAGTGCAGTCTTCTGGCAAGGTCTTCCTAATCCTAAAGCTAACACTTGAAATAAAGAGCCACTTTTTAAATCTCTAAATGGCAAAGAAATAATCCCAGCTTCCTCGATTCCACATCACCTTGCAAAATAATTTGTTATTAAATCTATACCCAAAAACAAATCAAGCAGGAGAAGGACGTTTTCCCAGATGATGCACACTTTGCTTGAGATGAACTCAAATGAGGATCACCAAAGCCATTACCACAACCAGAGCTTGCTCACATGATGGAGAGCTCACCAGCCGACGTATTTCACACAGCTTTGGCCATCTTTCCCCACGGTAGAAGAACAGCAGCCCATTTAAAGTGATTGATAACTTCACGTACAAGTTTATTTTTCTGGCGTTGGCAGCAGGATCGCATCAATCCTGAAGAATCGTTTTTAATAATGAACACTGGTAAACTGTTTTTCCAGGCACTGAGCATCAGAAAACGTAACGACTAATTAGAACGAAGTAAAAACCTTCAAGTGTCAGACTGCTACTGTGTTGGGTCACAAGTATCTGCTACAAATACCTGCTGCAGGTGGTTGGCAGCTGGTTTGGCAGACACACAGGGTGATAAATGCAGCAGCTGCCCACTCTTTGAGTTATCTTGGTTTTGGGGTAGGGATGTCGGAGACAGCACGGCCTCCAGGCCGAGCTCCAGCCTGGTACAGGAGCGAACCAGCTGAGGTGTTTCCAGTTCTTAATCTCGGGTTCCCTATCCGCAAAGATCTTTCACGCGGGCTCCTAAAAAAGGCTCGAGCCCAAATACATAAATAAGGTTAGTCTGAAAGCAGCCGCCTAGCAGCCCTGGACGCTGAAGCTCTCTGGTTTCATGGGAGAGAGCAGGAAGGTCAGAAGAGCTCTGGAAAGCACCAGAGTAAGCTGAAACGACCGAAATACCAGTGGTGAACCTCCCTGCTAAGGCGTACCCCATGAGACTGCGAGGCAGTGCTGCAGAAGGGGCTGGCACACCTGTTCCTTCCCCCTCTGCAAGTCATTATGAGCAAGCAATCAAACCAGCAGGCACGTCTCTCCGAGCCAGGCGCAATTTGAAGCCGTGATCTAGGAGCGAGCGCCTTCGGAGCTCAGTTTCCTGAGAGCAAATCCTCACCACGAGGCGAGACGGCTCGAAGGGCTTCTTCCAGGAGGAGCACGAGGCCGACACAAAGCTCCCCAGGGACAGGGCTGGAGAGCTGGGTGAGCTTACAGGCTGGATGTGAGGTGCAGGACGCAACACAGCTGGCGAGCACAGAGCTGACGTTGCTCTGAAATACAAGGATGAACTAGGAGATGAGCGATTTTTCACACCTATTTTTTATTTTTCTGGGTTTCCTGCTGAAGCAGTTCATGGGTCACCCACCTGGCTCAGCCCTGGGAAGCAAACAGCAATGCCTTAAGAAAAAATAAAACAAAAAACAAACCTGTTTCTCAGAATAGCTCCTGAAAAGGCGTGTAAGCAAAACCTGAAGGGAGTTCTCCTGCAAGCAGCAACTTCAGAAATAAAAGCTGATTTTTTTTGCTATTTAAAACCCGAACCCGCTTTTCCTGCTGACCCAGCCGCGCTGTAATGGTCTCGGGGGGAAAAACGAAGAAAGCCGTGTGGGAAGAGGCGATGAATTCTGTTAGGGCTGCCGATAATTGGGCAAAATGGGTGTTTGTGGGATGGAACCGAAATTGGAAATAAAGCGCCCCGTGAATTGAGGCACGCTGCCTGTAACCTGGAAGGGAAATGGAAACGTGCAGTGTTCTGTTATGGTGTCTGCTATTTCTACAAGTGCCTAGGCCAGGAGCTTGCAACTTATATTTGGAAAATAGAAGAAAAAAGGGGGAAAAGCCGTGCGGGCTGCACCCTAACCAAAATAAACAGCAGCACCGGGGGCTGCGCCGTGCCCGTGCCCTCAGAGCGGGGCAGGAGCGCTGCAGACGCTGCAGCCTGCGAAGCCTCGAGAGGCCTTTTCACCAAAACCCCCTCAAATAACCCCAAAACCCAGACCTGTGCGTCCCGGAACTCCACCACCACATTCTCGCTGCTCCAGCGCGCCGCCATCTTGCACCGCCCCGCCGCCGGCCATGGGGGCGGGCCGAGGGGGGAGGGGGGAGCGGAGCCTGAGCCGCGGGGGCCGCTGGGAGTTGTAGTTTTACCCCCCCCAACCCACCGCCTCCAGCGCACGGCTCCCGGTGCGGGCGGAGAGGGGGCTGCTGGGAAATGGAGTCCCCCCGCTTTGTTCCACGGAGAGGCGAGGGGGCTGCTGGGAGTTGTAGTTCCCCCGCACCCCCCGTGCTCACCGAGCCCCCCGCTCCCGGTGCCCGCACCCCCCCGGTGCCCACACCCCCGGTGCCCCCCAGCGGGGCCTCGCTCCCCCCTCGAGGGCTCCGCGTGTGGGGGGGGCGCTGCCCGCAGACCCCAAGCCCTGAGCCCTGCAGGGCTGAACGGGGGGGGCTCCTCGGGGTATCCCCGGTGGGGGCGAACCGCGGAGCCCCGGGGGGGGCTGAGGGGGCGGCCCCGGTCCCGGAGCCTCGTCCCCGGGCAGCAGCGCAGGGGTTAAGGGCGGCGGGGCCGGGGGGGGGCCGGGGGCGGGAGCATGCGTGCTGCCGGCCTCTATTGTCTCCGCCGCGGCTCCCAGCACCCAGCACCCAGCCGGTGCTGGCGGTGGCGGCGGGGCCGGGCCCGGCGGAGCGCGGAGGAGCCGCGGAGCGGGGCCCGGCCGCCCCTATGGGCCGCAGCTGAGCGCCGCCCGCGGGCCCCCCCCCCCCCCAGGCAGGAGCCAGGCGGCGGCGGCCCGGCCCCGCAGCCCCCCCCCCCCCCTCCCCCTTTCCTCCCCCCCCATCCATCCCTCCCGTCCCCTCCCGGTCCCCTCCCGGTCCCCCCTTTCCCTCCCGGTGCCCCCCCCCCGTGCCTCCCCGCGGGGCTCCCGGGATGGCCGGGGCGGGGGCGGGCGGGCGGCCGTAGCCGCTTTTTTCCCCCCCCCCCTCTCCCACCCCCCACCCCCCTCCCACCCCCACCCCCCAACCCCTTTAAACCCCCCTCAACCCCCCTGAAGCCTCCCCCCCCCCCCCCATCCCCTCCCCTCCCTTCCCCGCCGCCTTCCTTCCGCCTCCTCCTCCCCTCCGCCGCCACCGGGGGCCGGCTCTGGGCTTCCCTCCGGCCCCGTTGCCGTTCGGTGCCGGTTGCCGGTGCCCATGGGGGGCAAGCAGAGCACGGCGGCCCGCTCCCGGGGCCCTTTCCCCGGGGTGGCGGCGGATGACAGCGCCGTGCCGCCGCCGGGAGGCGGGGGGGGGCCGCCCCCGTTCGGCCATTACCGGCCGGGGGTGGGAGGAGGAGGAGGAGGAGGAGGAGGAGGAGGAGGAGGAGGGGGGGGGGGGGGGTGGCGGAGGTGCCATGGGGCTGCGCAGCCGCTCGGTCAGCTCGGTGGCCGGGATGGGCGGGATGGAGCCGGCGGGCGGCGGGGCCGGCCCCTTCGGGCTGTACGGCCGGGCTGCGGCGGGGGGGGAGGCCGAGAGACCCCCCCCGGGTGTCGGTGGTGTCGGTGGAGGCGGTGGGGGACCGGGGACCGACTCCACGTACGCCCATGGCAACGGTTACCAGGAGCCGGGAGGCGGTCGCCATAGGGACGGGATGCTCTACCTGGGGGCCCGGGCCTCGCTGGCCGACGCGCTGCCCCTGCACATCGCCCCGCGCTGGTTCGGAGCGCACAGCGGTGAGTGGCACCCCCCCGGCACCCTGACCCTGCTCCCCGCATCGGGTTTGTGCGAGCACAAGGCTTGGCTTGGCTTCTGGGTGCTTCCTCCGGTGATATCCCCGCTCCTCGTCCCGCTGCTGGGTGGGGTGCCTTGGGTATGGTCATCACAAGCTCTTTCCCTGCTTTGGCTCTGCTTTTTTTGGCTTCTTCCTGGCTTGGTGTCCTGGGTTGCGTTGGGTATGGCCACCCCGAGGTCCTTCTCCTTGCTTCACCTCCCGTCTTCCAGCCCTTTCCCTGATCATCACCCTGGGTTGCATTGGGCATGGTCACCCCCAGTCCTTATCCCCTCACTTCATCCCCATTTTTCCATCCCTTTACCCACCCATCACCCTGGGTTGCATTGGGCACGGCCACCCCAAACCCTCTCTCTTCACTTCATCCCCATTTTTCCATCCCTTTACCCACCCATCACCCTGGGTTGCGTTGGGCATGGCCACCCCCAGACCCTCTTCTCACTCCATCCCCTCTTTTCCAGCCCCTTCCCCGCTCATCATCCTAGGTTGTGTTGGGCATGGCCACCCCAAACCCTCTCTCCTCACTCCATCCCCTCTTTTCCATCCTCCTCCCCACTCATCACCCTGGGTTGCCTTGGGCACAGCCACCCCCAGGCCATTCCCCTTGCTTCATCCCCTTTTTCCCATCCCCTTCCCTCCTCACCATTCCAAATCATGTTGGGCACAGCTGCCCCCAGAGCCTTCCCCTCATTTCATCCCCCTTTTTCTAACCCCTTCCATGCTCATTGTCCTGGCTTGCCTTGCTCATGACCACCTCCAGATCCTTCCCCTTGCTTCACCCCCTTTTCCCCAGCCCCTTCCCTCCTCATCACCCCGGGTTGGGCCCGGCCACCCCCACTATTTGGGAGGAGGGTGGGCATCCCCCTGCTTTGTCTACTCCTATCCTAAATAATTTGCCCCCTCTCCAGCATGGGCTGGGGGTTGGTGCCCGTGCAGTGGTTGTGTCAAGGTCAAGGCAGGCAGGGGCGGTGGGAGGAGGAGGTTTTCCCCCCGGGAGGTGTTATTTTGGAAGCAGGGGACGTGCCATCCTTGTGGGGCTTGGGGACAACGGGGGGAAGGTGCCCAAGGATGGTGTCGGGGTGCTGGAGCCCGAGCTCTGGCTTTTGAGGGTCGGTTTGGGTTCCTCGTGCTGCTTTTGGAGGAGTGTGTGGGGTGTCAGGCAGTTCTCCTGCCTCGGGTACCAGGGAAAAGGGCTGGAGAGCGAGATGTGGGATTTTTTTCTCCTTTGTTTCTCCGGGGAGAGGCCGGGGCGGGTGTTCCCGTTCCAGCTGGCACCGTGGCGATGCCGGGGAGGAAGCCGAGGAGGAACTGCCTGCCTCGTTAACGGGGCCGGGGCGCTCCTACAGGAAACGTCTGGGGCTGAGAGGAGGGGGCAAGGCTGTGTCCCCCCCCCCCAAAAAAAAACCCTGGCGGGTGTCCCGGTGCCCGGGGAGCCCGGCGTGTGAGCGGGGCTGTGTCACTGACCCACTTTCGGCTGGGTACGGGGAGCGAGGTGGGAGGTCCTCCCTTCCCCTCCTGGTTAGGCATTTCGGGGATGTCTCCGTGCGTTTCCTGGAACAGGCTGGGATTCCTCTCCCACCCGGCCCCTCCGCTCCCTCCCGGAGCGTGACGCGGTCTGGGAATTTCATAACGCGCCTCGGGACAATGCCTCGCTCTCAGGAAGGCTGGAAACCGAACCAGTGGACGAGAACAAAGTGCAGAACGAGCCTCGTGGGGCTTCGTTTCCTACATCCAGCTTGGGCTTGTTCCCCGGGGGCTGCTCTTCCCAGCTGGAGTGGGACCACCTCTCCTTGTCTCCTGCCCCCGAGTGGGCCGGAGAGGAGAGGGGGGTCCCTAGTGGGGTTTGGGCAGGACTGGCACTGCTCCCTGGGGGGATTCTCCGCAGGACCACCCTGTAGCTAACCTGGAGATGGTCACTGGCAGGCTCTGGCTGATTTTTAAGCAACTATTCCCAAAGTACAGCGCCGAGAGGCGAAAACCTCTTAGCCATGGAGGTTAGGAGCGAAGGAGCAGGGCTGTGAGCCCGTCTGGGCACGTGGGGAGGGCTGGTTGTGGGCTGGCTCTCCCGGCACGCGTTCCCTCTCCCGATGGAGCGGATCCCGTTTCCTGCCGGGGCTTTTCCCAGGCGTGCCCGCTGCACCTGAAACCGCTCTGGGATTTCCGTGCCTGCGCCGGGTTTCGGAGACCCGCCTGGTGCCTGGCGCTGCTGGGAGGTGACAAAGCAGCTTGGGCAATCCTGGAGTTTTGCTCGCCGCGTCTGAGCGCCCTTCCCCGTCTCCAGACCTCGCAACGCCAAGGCTGGGAGGGAGAACACGGAAAAAGGAGACTCGTGGCTCAACGCCGCGCACCTCCAGGTCTGCGCGGTTCTCCTGGCGCTGCTCTCGTTGTTTGTCTCCATCGGGGGATCTTGAGGACTTGGCCGAGGCTGTAAGTAGCTTAAAGTTTCTCGGGAAATCCCCCTCGGCGCCCAAAGCCCTCGAGTGTTTAAAGCTCTGTTAAATCCACATCTCCCCGTCAGCCAGTTGAGCCCGGGGAAGCTCATCCTTCTGCGCGCCGCCGTCAGGAATATCGCAGCCTCCTGGCAAAGCGAGCTGTCTTGGATAGAAGCAGCAAAATTGGGGGCCCTCCTCTGCCAAACTGCCTGCCGCCGAGTGGAGCAGGGGGATGTCCGGCCCCGGTGATCCTCCGGGCAGGTTGGAGAGGGAAAGGAGCTGGAAACATCATCCAGCCCTGGGGCAGGGCTCGCTCACCGAGGGACGAGCTGAAGACGGATGAATGCCCAGCCAGCTGGCAAGGGGCACGCCTGCAGCACGGCCTTGCACGAGCACGGAGCTCTCCTACCCTAAAAGAGGAAGGATTTGTTCTAGCGGGCTGCTGGAGGGACTCCACGTTTGGGGCAGCAGCTCCTCTGGCAGGCGGGAGCACCAAAACCCACCAAAGCACGGCTTTAAGGTGTGCCAGCAGCCCGCAGATGAAGTTCAGCGTGTCGGCGTGGTGCGTTATCCCCCGGCCCCGCAGCGAGAGCAAGCAGAGGCTTCCCCTGCCTTTACCACTCCTGCACCCTGCAGGAATCCCTCGGCTGCCTCACCTGGGCACTGGGCACTAATTACCGGGCCCGCTAACGAGCTTGGCTGGGCTCGCTCCGCTCTAAACCCGCGTGTAAATGAGAGCAGGGAGCTGCGTGCGCCCGGCGTGCCGGAGAGCGGTGCGCCCGGGGCTGACCCACTTCCCAGCCAGGATTGCTGGCTTATCCCACGCCGGTTTGTTTTGCTGAGGTGTTTGTTCCAGTGCCTGGAAGAAGCGTGAAGGTTTTTCTGGTAGTTATTAACGTGCTCTTAGGGCTCCTCTCCCTCGTCGGCGCTGGCCGGAGGATGGATGAGCCGCGGACATCTTTGGTGGAGGAGCAGGACCAGGGCTGGCAGCCGGCCAGGGGAGCTCGGGGAATCATGGGAAGATGCTATTAAACAGTGACAATTAATTGTGAAAGGAGCGCAGGGAGGGAGAAAAACCCGCTTTGGGGGCAAAAAAATGTGTATTTTCTCCCCTGATGCTGTGGCACCCCGGCAGGCCGGTGGGTGACCGCGAGGCGCATCTCATCCCCTGCTGCTGGTGCGCCCGAACCCCAGCTGTGCCGAAAACCTGGGTTTGAATCCCCGTGACCTGGCTTTCTGCCGATTTTCCCAGTTTCATCCCAGTTTTCAACGTGCCTGCTGAAAACTGTGCTCGGCTCCGGGGCAGCTTGGAGCAGGCCGGGGAGGCGCAGCTGCAGGAAGCCGCTCGCCTGGGGCCCCTTCTCGTGCCGCCCCGCGGCGTTTCCGTGGGCAGAGCCCAGCCACGCGGGCTTCCTGCCCTGCAGGGAGGGGAGCACCTGCTGCAGGGGGCGAGGGCTGCTCACCCCCCTGCGTTTTGGGTAAAATCCTTCCCTGGCCTGTGGGTTCTTGCTGTAAGGAGCGTTTCTCTCTCCGGTGCCGTGCCGGACAGGCTGCAGCGTGGCTGGGCCGTGGATCTGGCTCTCCTTTCCTGGCTTTTCCTTCCCCTCCTGCCCTGTAGAGCTGAGCGATGGCAGCTGCCATCGGGACAGCCTCAGGGTTGTGCTGTATGGGCAGCGTTAGCTGGGGAAATTCTGCCTCTCAGGGTTGTTCTGTATTAGCTGGGGAAATTCTGCCTCTCTGCTCGGCTCGCACCCCTCTGGGCATCACCAGCCGCGCAGGAGCAAGGCCACGCGCTCTGTGCACCCATTTTGGGGTATTTTGTAGGGGATTGTTGGAAACATCGACCCTGTCAGCAGCTTTAGCGACGCCAGCAGAAGTTTCCGAGGGCTGTGCTTGCCCCCGAGCCCCCTGGGCTCGCTGCTCGTCGAGGTGACACCAGCCGTGGCTCCGGGGGGGACCGGTGCCCGCCGGGCGTGGAAATGGGGCTGCGCCGGGGGACGCGCAGCGGCAGGGACAGAGAATTGAACCGAAAGCAGCTCCGAGCTGTTTCCTGGCCCTGGCAGGAAGGACGGCGTGACAACGGCGGGTATTTTTAGAGGCCAGCTGCCTGCAACGCAAGAGGAAAGCAGCAGCAGAGGCTTTGCAGGGGCTTCTGCTGGCGCCTCCGAGCTGCGCCGACCTGCCCGGCGTGCCCATCGCGCCTCCGAGCCTGCAGGGTTTCATGTTTGTGTTTTTAGGGTTTTATTTAGAGAAGCCTGCCTCGCTGGTGAGGGAAAACCCGCAGCTTCTCCTGGAGCTGTAGTAATTCCTCGGGAGCCCCACTGCGTGTAGCTGCGTTTGATCGCAGCACCACGGTGGCACCAGGCCCCCCTTTCGGCACATCCCTCGGAGGCCACGACAGCTGTAGCCGGGGAGGACGAGGGCTTGTCCTTATCCAGCTGCCCCAAATTCTTATCTGGAGGGGGAAGGAGTGGCTGTGGGGCCAGGATGGCTTTGGGGGTGTGCATCACTGAGCACAGTCCCCGTGCCATGCCCTGCACCAGCACCAGGGCTCTGGGAGCGGTGCTGAGCCAGGTTTGGGGATTTCACAGCCACGCGCTGCCCGTGGATGTGTTTTTTTCTGCGCCCTCACTGCCTGCTCCTGAAAATCCCCCTTTCTTGGCCCAAAGTGGGTTTCTCCAGGCACTCCGCAGTGGCTCGAGCTCAAGGCTGGGGGCTCCACGCGTCTCGTGCAGGGCAGGTGGCCAGGCCGCCTCCTTCCCACGTGAAATATCCTGGCGGAAAAAAAAATCAGAGCGCCCAAGCCAGCCCCGTGGACGCAGGGCTCCTCTGCTTCGCTTTGCTGTTCTCTGGGATGCTAAAATTAGCTTTGGGCTACACGCTATTCCTTAGGAAGCTCATTCCCTGCAGCTGGGGGTGTTTTCTGCGGTAAAGCAGGGCTGGAGGCAGGGCGAGCATCCCGGGCTGGAGGGACTGATCCTGCGGCACAGCCGGGGCTGCAGGAAGGATAAAATACCTGTGCTTTGATCCCGAAATGGTGACCGCAGCCCTAAAAGGGGCAGGAAAGGGGGGACGTGTGGGCTGTAGCAGCTGTTTGCACATGAGGATGTGTGTGCGAGGAGGCTGCCTCAGCGAGGGAGGCAGCTCCTCGGCCAGGAGCACAGGATGAGAGCAGGAGACGTGGCTGAGGTTTCCAAACCTCCAGCCAGCAGCCTGGGGCTTACCCCTGAGCTCGGGGTGCTGCATGGGGTGGCAGAGCTCGGTGTGATGTCCCACCAGGCTGGAGGCAGCCGGGGAGGCAGGGATTTCCTACAGCAGCATCGGGAACAATCCCTGGTGGGGTACGGCCGTGGCTGTGGTTACGGATGGGTTGGAAACTGCCTTTACCCTCCCAAAGCCCTGCCATGGCCCGGTGGTGCTTTTGGCACCGTCAGGGTTAACCGCGGGGCGTTTTCAGCTCTTTTCGGATCTGCTGGAGGCTTCAGAGGTTCCCAGCTCTGCTCTGCCAGGCTCTCTAAAATTAACCGTGTAACCTGCCTAAAAATACTCAGAGGGCACCAGCCCCCGGAGAGCGCGAGCGCTGCTTGCTCACGGTTTCTAGACCGAGCCGTCGGAGAGATGAGGTCACCTCGCGGCGTGTTTCACAACCCTGGAAAGCCCTTGGCTTTCTCAAAGGCTGCAAGATAACCTCGTCCTCAAACCCCACCTGCCCCCGGGGGCTCCAGGAGAGCAGCGGGCAGCTCAGGCCAGGATGGGGGCTGAGAGCTGGGGGCTGCGCCCATCCCGCAGCACCCGGGGAAGCACGAAGGGTCCTGAACCTCCCCGTGGGCACGGGAGGCCAGGAGAAGAGGAATAGCTGAGCCCTTCCCCTCTCTTTTTTATTTTTTTAGGTGTGTGGGAGGAGGACGGAAAGGGCTGGAGGAGGAGGAGGAGGGAGGGAGCTGAATTTTCCATGAGCAGCTGTCAAAACGTAATCTCCTGCGTCGCTCGCGCAGGCAGGATTGATTAACGGGGATTTCGGGGACCTGGAAACCACCGGGGCAGGGTGTGGGCAGCGGCCCCTCGGGGCACCATCTGGGGCCGGCTGTCCCCCAGCTCCTCGTGGGGTTGATGGGTTTTTGGGGACCCCCGTGAGCATCGCCCCTGCCCCCCGGCAGCTGCTCTCGCCACGCCGGGAATTTGTGCCGACAGCTGGGGCGCAGCCTCTCCGCGCTGCCTCCTCGCTCCGGCCCAGACAGGCCCACTTGTGCAAGTTGCATTTTCATCATTTTTTTTTAAAGAAATTATTATTTTTCCTCCCCCCGCCTCCACCTCGTGAAAGGCCGAGCCTGGAAAGTCTGCGCTTGGCCGAGCCCCAGCCCCGCTCGGCATCGCGCCGCTCACGTGCATCAGGGCCCCTTTTTGGGGTTCACACCCTGCATTTGGGCATCCTCCCCGTGCCCTTGCTTTGGGGACGCGGTGGCCGGGGTCCCTGTCCTTCCCCAGCTCCCTTTGCCCAGCTCGAATGTCTCGTAGGGCCCCGCCGGGTGCCAGCAGATCTGGGGCAGCCGTTTAAAATAGCGCCTTGGCACAGAAAAACGGGGGGGGACCGGGGCTTTGGCACCGGCAGTGCTGGAGGAAACGAGGTCTTGCGGAGACGTGGGCCCTTCCCAGCGGCTCGCTGCGGGTCAGCAAGGAGCTGCTGGTCCCAAAAACCTGGGGATGTCGCTGCTGGAAGCGGGTCCCCGGGGCTGGGCTGGGTGCCCGTGGTGCTGCGGGGACGGGGAGCGTGTCCCCGGGGGGAGGCAGGCTGGGAGGCTATCCGAGCCCTCTCTATAAATACACCGGCAGGGTAAACACTTGGGAGGGGAAAAAAAAAGGCTATTTAAGCAATCAGGCACTGCTGCCACGAGGTATAAATTGGTCAGGAGCAATTTTAGGCTGGCAACGGGACGGCACATTGACCCCCTGCCTCCCGGCTCCGTCCCTTCGGCTGGGGCAAGGCACGGTGCGGGGCTGGAGGGGCGAGCGGGGTCCCCAAACGTCCCTCCTGCTCCCAGCCACCCGCAGCACTCGTCCTTGCTGAGATTTCCTGAGGAATTTCCCCCCGTGAGGGGAAGGGGGTCAGTGGCTCTGTCCGAGGCTTTCCAAGAACCCCCCAAATCCCCCTGCCACATCCGCTTGGTGGCAAACCAGAACCCTGATTCATCCTCAGATAATTTGTGCACGCTCCTTTTCCTCCCCGAACAGGCTTTGCATATCTATGAAGCGAGCTCTTAAGCAGCACTGCAGTCAGACCTGATCTGCTTTTAGAAGACGGGTCCTTAAATTACCCGCTCCCTCTCTGCAGGCAGGGAATTGCTCTGGTGCAGACCCGCGCCGGTGGCCTCAGCATCTCCACGGCCTCTGTTGGAGCTCCGTGGGGGCACGGAGCTGGGCTGCAGGCGGGCAGGGAGCCCTGGGCACCGTCCCGAGCCTGGGACCTGTGGCTGGGTTGGGGTTTTGCTCGCTGGAGGCGCTGGTTTTGCTCGCAGGATGAGACAAAAGCACTGAAGCAGGATTAGGGATGGACAGGGAGAGGGGATGCGCCGTGCCGTGGAGCCAGCAGGATGGGCTGAACCCAGAGCCTGGAGGGTCCGGCTGAGCCTGGGTGTCACTGGGGACTTTTTGGGACGTGGCACGGCCACAACCCGGGGTGGTGGCAGGGGGACGTGTCCCCAAGTCACGGCCCAGCCCCTCGGTGCTGTGTGCCCGGGGCTGCTCCTCGCCCTTTAAAGCCGGGCAGCAGCTGGTGGCCACGTGTGCCCTGCACCCTCTGCGCCACCGGGCGCCCCAGCTCGGGTGGCTGTCCCCACGCTGCCACTGCTGGTGGCCACCACGCAGGATGAGCGCAGGGCCAGCGGGCACGGCGTGGGGCAGGTGCCACCATGCAGGCATCGGGTGAGGGCGCGGGGTACCCCCGGGGGGCTCCCCGGGACGCGGGGTGGGCTCTTCTCCTCCTCCTCCTCCTCCCCTGGCTGAGGGCTCTTCTCTCTGCTCTCCCTCCAGGTTTCAAGTGCCCCATTTGCTCCAAATCCGTGGCTTCTGACGAGATGGAAATGCACTTTATCATGTGTCTGAGCAAACCTCGCCTCTCCTACAACGGTAAGGGCGCGGGGAGGGCAGGAGGGACGCTCGGGCAGGCTGGGGCTGCGGGCTTGCCAAGAGGGCTGTGCTCCAGCTGCCATCCACGGCTCGCCCTCCGTGCCTTGTCCTTGCTGCTTTCCCCTGGGGACCTTTTGTGACGTGTCCCTGTCCCCGTGTTGCTCACCGCGCCGTGCCGGAGTGACCCGTCCCGGGCTTATATCCTGCCCCGCAAGGGCAGGGCTCACGCTGGTGGTTTTTTGGAGCTCTGGCAAAACCCAGCTCGGTGGGAAACCCGTTGTGGGACGAACCCCCCCCCACGGCCCGAGCGGGGGGCCACGGTCTCACCGCTGCCCTCTCCTCGCAGACGACGTGCTGACCAAGGACGCCGGCGAGTGCGTGATCTGCCTGGAGGAGCTGCTGCAGGGGGATACGATAGCCAGGCTGCCCTGCCTCTGCATTTATCACAAAAGGTACGGCGAGGGGACGCCAGGGGGGTGGCACGGGGGTGGCAGCATGGTGGTGACACGCTGTCCTCTCCCCAGCTGTATAGATTCATGGTTTGAAGTGAACAGATCGTGCCCAGAGCATCCTTCTGATTGACCCGCCGGGCGTGCTTGCTGACTTCTCTCTAAGGTGAGCCCGCGGCGGGGGGGGGGAACGGGGCTGTTTTCCTCTTAAACCCTCTGGGATGGTTCCAAAATTGGGGGGGAGACGGGCAGGAGGGTCGGGGAGGGGGACGCGTGGCTCCTGCAGCCACCGTGCTGACGCGGCGCCGTCTCTGTTCGCAGGGCACCTTGCTACACCTGCTGTACCTCCGCTCCCTGTGCCACCACCCGCCCCGCCTGGACTTTTGGGCTGACGCTCAATTCCTCGAGAAGATTTAAAAATTAAAACCCAGAAACTTGAATCCACTTGGGACAACAATTATTATTATTTTTAATTTTATTTTATTATTTTTATTTGTCTTTTTTTTTTTTAATTTAAAAGATTTAAAAAAAAAAAAGAATAAGAAGCATCCAGGAGGAGAGACAGTGTGAGAAAAGCGGAGCGCCCCGCGCTCCCCTCCGCAGCCGCTGGCCACGAGGAGGGATCTGCCACCACGGGAGGCCCCGGGGACGCTCCCCAACGCCCTCGGCCCAAACCCTGCCATGATGTTTGGCCTTTTTCTCCCCGAAACGCCCGGAGACGCCGCCGGGGGACAGCCGGCCAAACGGAGCACGCGGCCACCTCTCACCGGCAGCCCCCCCACCTCCCACCCGGACTCGCCTGGCGCCCCGGGGGCTCTGCTCGGTTTTTTTGCACTGACTAAAAGGGGAATTTTCTCCTCTCTCCCTTTTGGAGATCTCCACCCCGGCCCCCGGCAGCGCGTGGCGGGGACTCTGCCCCACGCCGGGAGCGGGGCCACCGCTCTCCCCCCGCCGCCGCGGCGCAGGGGGGGGGGGGGGTCGTGTCTTTCAAGTGTTTACAATGAGAAAAACAAAACAAAAAAAAAAAAAAGGAAAAAAAAAAAAACAGAGAAAACCGACAAAACAGCAACAAAAAAAAAAATAATTAAATGAAGCTTCGTGTTGACTGGCGTGTTCTTCGATTTGAGCTTCCCTGCCCCGGTGATGTTTACAGACTGGTCACTCTTTAACTCAGCTATAACCACTCAGAGACTGGACAGCCGCAGCATCCCCGCCGCCCCCCCTCCCGCCGTTGCCAAATTTGACCCCCCCCACCCTTTTCTTCCCGTCGCCTTCCAGCCGAATCCTTTTGGGGAGGGGATTTGGGAGGCCTCCTGTTGGATCCCCCAAGGCGTGAGCGTCTCGCCCGGACGCCCTCGGCCCCGCCGCCGTGCGCTCCCCCCCCGGTGGGTGCCGGACCCCCCCCGTGTGACGGCCGTGCCCCCCCGTCCCCGTCCCCGTCCCCTCCCGGCGCGGCGGGCATGTTTTCGTTGGTGAGACCTCCCCTGCCGGTGGCCGTGCCCCCGCGGGAAACGTTTCTGTATTTATATATTAAAAAAAAATCAAAAAAAAAAAAAAGACAAAAAAAAAAAAAATCGGGGAGGGGGAAACGAGTTCAAGAGCTTGGGGGGAGCTTCCTTCATTAGTCAAGGTGTTTTGATATGGTATTAAAACAATGTTCAATAAAATATTCACTGTTATTTTATTTCACTGGCCTTCTTGGAGAAGCAGGGGTACCGGGGGGGTGCCGGAGCCCCCTCCCCACAAATCCCCAAAAAGCCAGGGGTGTGGCGTGCTTCCTCGGGGTGTGGGGGGGTGGGCGCTCACAGCACCTTGCCGGGGTTCATCAGGTGGTGGGGGTCCAGCGCCGCCTTGATGCGCCGCATGGTGTCCAGCCCCTGGGGGCCCAGCTCCTCCCGCAGCAGCTCCCTCTTGCCCAGCCCCACGCCGTGCTCCCCGGTGCAGGTGCCACCCGCCGCCAGCGCCCGCCTTGGGGGACGGGGACATCAGCGGGGACATCCCGGGGGGGGGGTCCCCAAAGCCACCCGTGCACCCGTGCGCACCCACCTGCCCAGGCGCTCGGCGAAGTCGTGGACGCGCCGAGCTTCATCCGGGTCCTCGGGGTGGAAGACGAGGATGCAGTGGAAGTTGCCGTCACCCACGTGTCCCACCATGGGCCCTGGGGGGACAACGGGGGTGAGGGGGGGGCAGCGGGGCGGGGGGGTGCTGCAGGGAGGGGGGCAGCGCCCACCGGTGAGGCCGGCGTCCCGCAGGTCCCGCTGGGTCTCCACCACGACGCCGGGCAGGCGGGAGATGGGCACACAGACGTCGGTGGAGTAGCCCTGGGGTTGGGATGCGTGAGCAGGGGTGCGCGGGGACATTGTGGGGAGGGGGACGCGGCGCTGCCCCCCCCTCACCTGGCAGCCAGGCCGCAGGGCCAGGGCGGCGAACCAGGCGCTGTGGCGTGCGGACCAGAGCCGCTCACGCTCCTCCGGTGCCCGCGCCCAGGCTGGGATGGAGCCGCCGTGCAGCCGCACCAGCTCCTCTGGGGTGGGGGGAGATGGTGTGGGGTGGCTGGAGCCACAGCAGCCCCCTGACGTGTGCCCGCTCCCCCCGAGATCAGGGCTGGGTGCTTGGGGATCTCCCCAGAGCCTGGTGTGGCCCCAGCGCCCAGCCCTGTCCCTGGGCACCAGCCCTTGCCCACCTCCCATGTCCCTCACCCCAAATCCTCACCAGGGACCCCCAGCCCTGTTTCTGCGCCCCCCATCCCCATCCCTACTCCCTGTCCCTCCCCCGGGACCCTGCTGTGCACCCGCCATGGGCACCCCTCCCTCACCACGGGACCCCATTGGGACCCACCCCAGCTCCCCACCGTGTCCCCATCCCCATCCCCGTCCCCATGTCCCGGTCCCCCTCCCGTGCCCCCCCCGGCCCTACCCGCCTGCTGCTGCTGCTCGGCCAGGCCCTGCTGGGAGCCGTGCAGCTCCAGGAACAGCGTGGCCGCCTCCGGCAGCTCCAGCCTGCTGTAACGGCTGCAGGCACCCGCCATCACCTCGTCCAGGAGCTCTGGGGGGGAGGAGGAGGCGCTGAGACCCGTGGGGTTGTCCCGTCACCATCCTCTCCCTGTCCCTGTCCCCTCTCCATCCTGTCCTTGTTGCACCCACCGATGCGCGCCACGGGCACTGCCGCCTGCAGCACCTGCACGGTGCAAGCCACGGCCGCCTGCACGCTGGGGAAGGAGCAGACAGCAGCGGCCACGGCCTCGGGCAGCGGGTGCAGCCGCAGCGTCGCCTGCGTCAGGAAGCCCAGGGTGCCCTCGGAGCCCACGAAGAGCGAGGTCAGGTCGTAGCCGGCCTGCGCTTTTCCTGCACGGGGGCGTTTGAGAGACCCCCAGCCTGGTTGCCTGCCCCCCCCCCCGTGTCCCCCTCCCCGGGTACCTGGCGTGGCGCCCGGGGCCGGCGGTGTGCAGCAGGCTCCCGTCGGGCAGCACCACGCGCAGGTTGAGCACGTTGGGCCGCATGGTGCCGTAGCGCACGGCGTTGGTGCCCGAGGCGCCCGTGGCCGCCATGCCGCACAGCGAGGCGTCCGCCCCGGGGTCTGGGGACGGGCAGCAAGAGGGCAAACGGGACGGGGACAGGGAGAGGGGACCCCGCTGTGACACCAGCCCACAGCACCGGGACCCCGGGGATAACGGCACCCCCAGCCCGTGGCACCCCTGGGATCTGGGCACCCCCAGCCCGCACCCATCTGCAGCACCCCCAGCCCCCCGGCACGCCCACTGCTCCCAGCACCCCCAGTATAATGGGCATCCCAGCACCCCCAGTGCTCCCAGTAACCAGAGCAGCCCAAAGCCACCCAGTCCAACCCCCACGTCTTGTCCCATGGGCTCCCCTGTCCATCCCAGTGCTCCCAGTGCTCCCAGCACCCCTTGACCCCCCGCAGCGGGTGCCGCCCCCACGGTACCGACGGGGAACCAGAGCCCGGTGCCACGCAGGTGGCTGTTGAGGGCCTTGCGGGTGACGCCGGGCTCCACGGCCACCGAGAAGTCCTCGAGGCTCAGCTCCGAGATGGTGGCCATGCGGCTCAGGTCGAAGCAGACGCCGCCCTGGCACGGGCACGGCTTCGGCTCGCACCGGGCACCGCGGGGCACGCAGGGGGACGGGGACGGGGACGGGGACGGGGACGGGGGTCTCTGTACCTGCACGGCGTTGACGCCGCCCTCCAGGCCGGTGCCGGTGCCAAAGGGCACCATGGGGACGCGGTGGCGGTGGCAGAGCGCCGCCAGCTCCTGCACCTGCGCCACGTCCTGGGGCCACACCACAGCGTCCGGGGGCGCGCACCTGGGGACAGAGCGGCCCCGCTGCCCCCCTGTGCCCAAAAAAACCCCGGAACCATCCCCACACTGGGGGTCCTGGTGCCCCCCCCCCAACCTGTGCATGGACTCATCGTGCCCGTGCTGCTCGCACACCTGCCGCCGCCGTGGAGACGTTGGGGCCGCCGACCACATCCCGAAGGGCTTCCAGCAAGCCGGGGGGCAGCGGGCGCTGTGTGGGGGGTGTGGGGACCAGTCAGGGGGAGCAGGCTCCCCGCGCCCACCCCCTGTGCCCCCCTCTCTCTGCCTCTGCCTCTGGGGGGACCCCAGCGCCGGTCCCGTCCCCACCTTGCTGCAGCAGCCGCGGCGCCCCACGGCCCCCGCCAGCCCCAGCGCCCGCCGCAGGGCCATGGTGGGGACAGGGCCCAGCTGCTCCCGGCCCCTTGGCCTGGCCCCAAGGCCCCGCTGCTCCCTCCCGCGCCACAGGCGTTAAGGTGGCCCCGCACACCTCCGGCACGCACCAGCCTCTCGGCCCCTCGGCTGTCCCACGGCCCCGGCACCGGCCCTGCTCCTGGCCTCGGGCACCGGGGAGCCCGTTCCTGTGACCCCATAGCCCCGGGACTGTGTGGGGTTTGGGGGGGCACCCACACGTTGCCCCGCTCCCGGGTGCCGGCTCCTGTCCCCACGGAGGCCACTTGTGCCCGGCCTCCGCTGAGCGTGGCCGGGGGTCCCCGTGCCCAAACAGCCACCCCAGGTGTCCCCGCTGCAGCCCCGTGTCCCCACCCTCCCCCAGTTCAGGTTCCCTGAGCACGGAGGCGGCAGGTCGGGGGCACAGAGCTTTATTTGGGGCCTCAGTTGGCCGCCAGTATGGAGTCGATCCAGGCGCGCAGCTCGGTGACGCGGGCGTACACGCCGGGCATGGAGGTGGAGCAGCTGCTGCTGCCCCACGAGACGATGCCCACCAGGGTCCAGGCGCCGTCCTTCTGGCACACCAGCGGGCCCCCGGAGTCGCCCTGCGGGCAGCGGGGTGAGGCTGGGGGCCGGGGCGAGGGGAAGCGGGGCCGGGGCCGGGGCTGGGGCCCCGTGGCCACGTACCATGCAGGAGGAGGCTCCGTCAGCAGCCGGCGCACACCATCACGTCGTAGATGCGGTACCCCCAGTACTGCTTGCACTGCGCGTTGGTCAGCAGGGGCAGGGCCACTTGCTGCAGCACCGCCGGCGTCGTGTCGGCTGCGGGCGAGCAGGGGGGCGTCAGCACCCGCACGGCCCCCGGGGACGGACAGGGACAGGGACGGGGACGGGGACGGGGACGGGGACGGGGCCGCGGTACCCGAGGCGTCGGTGAGCCCCCAGCCCGTGGTGACGCAGGTCAGGCCCCCGGGGAAGTCATCGGTGGCCTGGGGCAGGCAGACGGGGGACACGCGGGCGTTCAGCTGCGCCGGGGTGGCCAGCTTGATCAGCGTGATGTCGTTGCGGACGGTCAGCGAGCTGTAGCTGGGGTTGCGGAAGACCTGCAGCAGGCGGCAGCGCTCCCAGTGCCCGCACCCCCGGCTGGGGCAGCGGGCGCTGGCGGGGACGCACGGGGACCCCCGGGCACGGGTGCCAGCCCCCGGGACTCAGGGGGGTCGGGGACAGCCCAGGGGCTGGCGGGGACCCGTGCACCAGGGGGGGACTGGTGGGACCTGGCTCAGACCCCACGGGGCTCTCCTGGGTCTGCTGGGGGCCAGGGAGCAGGGATCGAGGCCCAGAGCCCACCCCAAGGACCCAAGCCCTGAAGAGAGCAGGAGCAGGGGACTCCATGGGGACCCCGTCCCCGATACGAGGGGCACCAGGCACACCGAGGGGACCTGACCCTGGGGACGAGGGCCCCGCAGGGCTCCCGGCGGCGGCCACAGCACCCGCAGGCCCCCGGCCCCGCGCCGGCCGTACCTTGGCGATGGACAGCCTCTGCACGTCCCCGGACTCGGTCTCCTGGTCGTACTCGCCCAGCACCACGGCGTCAGTGGTCCTGGGCAAGGCAGACGCTGAGCCCCAGGGGCACCCCGCGCACCCACGGCCGCCCCCGCCACCCCACGGCCACCCGGCACCTACTTGACGCCGCAGTGGGCAGCGGTGACCACCCACTGCTCGCTGATCAGGGACCCGCCGCAGAAGTGGAAGTTGCCGTAGCGCTGCCGGACAGAGAGCTGCTGTCAGCCCCGCACCACGCGGCCCCGCTCCCGCTCCCGGCCCCATTCCCGTTCCCGAGGCGGGCACTCACCTGCAGGGACACCTGCCAGGGCCAGGAGCCGGGCACCGCCGGCTCCCCGCCGACGATGCGGTTGTAGCCGCGGATGACGGGTGCGATGGCGGGCACGCCGCAGCCTGCGGGACGGGCACAGCCGTGGGACAGGGCCCTCGGCCGCTCCGGCCCCGCTCCCCAGCCCCAGCCCTGCGCCTCCCCGGCCTGCCCAGCCCCGGCCCCACGCACTTGCCGCGGCGCGGGCAGAGCCCGCCAGAGCCAGGCAGCTCAGCAGCCACAGCAGAGCCATTGCCGAGAGCAGGGAACAGGCTGGGCACGGGGCACGGCGCCTCTTATACACCCGTGGTCCCCGTGCTGGCCTTGGGGCGGTGGCCTTCAGCGATAGCACGGCACCGTGCCAGCTCTGGCACCGTGGGGGTCACCCAACCCCATGGTGCCACATGGGGCCTGGCCTTGGAGCCACCACAGCCCCCAAATGTCCTGGGAACAGCCAGCTGAAAGGCAGCTTTGCTGGAACTGCTCGCGGTGCTCAAAGTCATGGTGCACTCCTTGTTGGCCATGAGCTAGCGACGTCCCTTGAGGCACAGACCAGGAATGGCCTCCTGGGTGCGTCGGGCAGGGGGGTGCTGGTGGGTGCCCCTCGGCACCCCTGGCTGGGTGCTGGGCACAGCACTGGGCTCCCCAGGACAGGGTGGGCATGGGCACCCCAGGGAATGGGTGCGAGGTGCTGGAGGGCCCGGAGCCTCCCTGCAATTAGGGAGGGGAGGCCAGGAGCTGGGACCCTCGGGGGGGTGCAGCAGCTGGGGGGGACCCCGTCCATGGCTGCGTGCAGGTGGCTGCAATGGGATGGAGCCAGGTGCTGCTCAGCAGTGTCTGGGGATGGGGCGGGGGGCAGCAGGCACCACATGGAGCTCAGGAGGTTCCCCCCACACGTTGGGAAGTGTCTCTGTGCAGTGCGGGTGGCTGAGAGTGGGCACAGGTCACTCAGAGAGGGTCCTTGTGGTCTCCATCATTGGAGGTCTCCAAACCCACCTGGGCTTGGCGCTGGGTGGCCCTGCTGGAGCAGGGTGGCACCGGGTGACACCAGGAGGTCCCTGCCCACCCCAAACACTCTGCAATCACCTGCCCCTCACACAGGGCCACAAAGCGCTATGGGGCCGGGACTTATCTCCCACCAACAGCACCCAACGTCCTTTGGCCAAGGCTGCCTGTCCCCAGGTGTGATGCTCCCAGACCCTGTCCAGGGGCGGTGCCGCGTGCCGCGCTATCGCTGAAGGCCAGCACCCCAAGGCCGGCACGGGCACCACGGGTGTATAAGAGGCGCCGTGCCCCGTGCCCAGCCTGTTCCCTGCTCTCGGCAATGGCTCTGCTGTGGCTGCTGAGCTGCCTGGCTCTGGCGGGCTCTGCCCGCGCCGCGGCAAGTGCGTGGGGCCGGGGCTGGGCGGGCCGGGGAGGCGCAGGGCTGGGTGCTGGGGAGCGGGGCCGGAGCTGGCCGAGGGCCCTGTCCCACGGCTGCGCCCGTCCCGCAGGCTGCGGCGTGCCCGCCATCACACCCGTCATCCGCGGCTACAACCGCATCAGTCGGCGGGGAGCCGGCGGTGCCCGGCTCCTGGCCCTGGCAGGTGTCCCTGCAGGTGAGTGCCCGCCTCGGGAGCGGGAAGCGGGAGCGGGGCCGCGTGGTGCGGGGCTGACAGCAGCTCTCTGTCCGGCAGCGCTACGGCAACTTCCACTTCTGCGGCGGGTCCCTGATCAGCGAGCAGTGGGTGGTCACCGCTGCCCACTGCGGCGTCAAGTAGGTGCCGGGTGGCCGTGGGGTGGCGGGGGCGGCCGTGGGTGCGCGGGGTGCCCCTGGGGCTCAGCGTCTGCCTTGCCCAGGACCACTGACGCCGTGGTGCTGGGCGAGTACGACCAGGAGACCGAGTCCGGGGACGTGCAGAGGCTGTCCATCGCCAAGGTACGGCCGGCGCGGGGCCGGGGGCCTGCGGGTGCTGTGGCCGCCGCCGGGAGCCCTGCGGGGCCCTCGTCCCCAGGGTCAGGTCCCCTCGGTGTGCCTGGTGCCCCTCGTATCGGGGACGGGGTCCCCATGGAGTCCCCGCTCCTGCTCTCTTCAGGGCTTGGGTCCTTGGGGTGGGCTCTGGGCCTCGATCCCTGCTCCCTGGCCCCCACCGGCCCCAGGGCAGTCCCGTGGGGTCTGAGCCAGGTCCCACCAGTCCCCCCCCGGTGCACGGGTCCCCGCCAGCCCCTGGGCTGTCCCCGACCCCCCTGAGTCCCGGGGGCTGGCACCCGTGCCCGGGGGTCCCCGTGCGTCCCCGCCAGCGCCCGCTGCCCCAGCCGGGGGTGCGGGCACTGGGAGCGCTGCCGCCTGCTGCAGGTCTTCCGCAACCCCAGCTACAGCTCGCTGACCGTCCGCAACGACATCACGCTGATCAAGCTGGCCACCCCGGCGCAGCTGAACGCCCGCGTGTCCCCTGTCTGCCTGCCCCAGGCCACCGATGACTTCCCCGGGGGCCTGACCTGCGTCACCACGGGCTGGGGGCTCACCGACGCCTCGGGTACCGCGGCCCCGTCCCTGTCCCCGTCCCTGTCCCTGTCCCGTCCCCGGGGGCCGTGCGGGTGCTGACGCCCCCCTGCTCGCCCGCAGCCGACACGACGCCGGCGGTGCTGCAGCAAGTGGCCCTGCCCCTGCTGACCAACGCGCAGTGCAAGCAGTACTGGGGGTTCCGCATCTACGACGTGATGGTGTGCGCCGGCGCTGACGGAGCCTCCTCCTGCATGGTACGTGGCCACGGGGCCCCAGCCCCGGCCCCGGCCCCGCTTCCCCTCGCCCCGGCCCCCAGCCTCACCCCGCTGCCCGCAGGGCGACTCCGGGGGCCCGCTGGTGTGCCAGAAGGACGGCGCCTGGACCCTGGTGGGCATCGTCTCGTGGGGCAGCAGCAGCTGCTCCACCTCCATGCCCGCCGTGTACGCCCGCGTCACCGAGCTGCGCGCCTGGATCGACTCCATACTGGCGGCCAACTGAGGCCCCAAATAAAGCTCTGTGCCCCCGACCTGCCGCCTCCGTGCTCGGGAACCTGAACAGGGGGAGGGTGGGGACACGGGGCCGCCAGCGGGGACACCGGGGTGGCTGTTTGGGCACGGGGACACCCGGCCACGCTCAGCGGAGGCCGGGCACAAGTGGCCTCCGTGGGGACAGGAGCCGGCACCCGGGAGCGGGGCAACGTGTGGGTGCCCCCCCAAACCCCACACAGTCCTGGGGCTATGGGGTCACAGGAACGGGCTCCCCGGTGCCCGAGGCCAGGAGCAGGGCCGGTGCCGGGGCCGTGGGACAGCCGAGGGGCCGAGAGGCCGGTGCGTGCCGGAGGTGTGCGGGGCCACCTTAACGCCTGTGGCGCGGGAGGGAGCAGCGGGGCCTTGGGGCCAGGCCAAGGGGCCGGGAGCAGCTGGGCCCTGTCCCCACCATGGCCCTGCGGCGGGCGCTGGGGCTGGCGGGGGCCGTGGGGCGCCGCAGCTGCTGCAGCAAGGTGGGGACGGGACCGGCGCTGGGGTCCTGCCAGGGATGGGGACGGGGCCATGGTGGGGAAATGGGGTGGGTCCCAATGGGGCCCCATGGTGAGGGAGGGGTGCCCATGGCGGGTGCACCCAGGGCTACTCCACCGACGTCTGCGTGCCCATCTCCCGCCTGCCCGGCATCGTGGTGGGGACCCAGGGGGAGCTGGGGGACACCGGTCCCACCGGTGGGCGCTGCCTCCCCCTGCACCACCTCCCCTCCCCGCTGCCCCTGCTCACCCCCGTCCCCATTTTGGGACACGTGGGCGATGGCAACTTCCACTGCATCCTCGTCTTGCACCCCAAGCACACAGACACCCAGGCACCGCGGGTGTTTCTAGGTAAATCTTTATGCTGCTGTGGGACCGGGGGGCGGGGGGGGCTGAGTTGGGGTGGGGGCTGCGACTCCGTGGCTCCGGGAACCGTCGGAAGCTTCCCCAGTGTTCAGAAGGCACCAATGTCAGGTTGCGTTTCGGTTACAGCTGGTAGGGCAGCAAAACCCGAGAGAGGAAAATGCAAAGGCTCCAGCCCCTCCCGCCCCCCAGCCCACCCGTTGCCTCCCGGCACCACGGGCATGGCTCTGACACCAATCTCAAGAGGAAGAGGAGGAAGGGGGATGATGGCCACGGCCACTCAGCCTTGGATGAGCGGATCCCCGGGCCCCCAGTGCGTGGTATTGTCTATGTACAGGTCCATTTCCATCGGGCAGGGGGCTCGTGTTGAGGGGACGGCGTGAGGGGACAGCATCCCGGGGCCATCACATGGCCGCCAGCTGGCCCAGCACCATCCTGAACTGCTGCGTGCTGTTGGCGAGGTCCTTGACGCGCTCCACCATGTCCTTCGAGGCCGCGGGAGAGGGGTAGTGGAGCGCGGCCGCCTTGGTGGTGACCACGATCTCCTTGAGCATCTCGCACAGGAGGTTGCTGTAGTGCGTCACCTTGTGCCGCACCTCCTGCGCCTTGGCCTGGCGGGACAGCGTGTCGCCGATGAAGACGAGCTTGTGGGCGCTGAGGATGATGAACTTGCTGTGGGCCACGAAGATCTTGGGGGGCTGGTTGGTGCTGACGGCGGTGAAGAAGGCGTCGACGGCGTTGGTGAGCGTGGTGAGGTTGGCCTCGCACTGCTCCAGGTAGAAGAGGAGGAGCTGGCGGTCGGAGGCACACAGCGCGCCGCCGCCCCGCGCCGGGCCGTAGTGCTGGGGGGGGCTCCAGTTGGACAGGTCGTTGTCGATGGGGCGCGTCACCTCCTGCTCCAGCCGCTCGAACTGCTTCAGCTGCGGAGAGGAACGGGCAGTGAGGACGGGGCAGGGCGGCCACCAAGCCCCGCGGTGACGGCTGTGCCCCAGGGGGACGCTGCCACATGGATGGTGACAGCCCCAGGAAGAGGATGGCCACGCCAGGCTCCTCTCCGGCATCAGACGTGCCAGATGGTGTCACACAGAGCCATGGGAGAGGCTCACCCACCCCACCAGAGGCCTGTAGGGACAAGGGGAGCAGGACCAAACCCTGCTGCCCTCCCCAAAGCGGGGTCCCCGCTGAGCCGTGCCCAGAGGTGCCCCCCTGCCCATCCCGTCCCCGTTACCTGCTGGTGCTCCAGCTGGTCCTTGCTCTGCCGGATGATGTTGCCTTTCTCCAGCAGCTCCTTCTGGGTCTTCTCAAACTCCTCCTTGCCCTGAAGGGGAGGAAGGAGCATGAGAACGGGGCAAACCGCCGGCCTCACCAGGAACGAGCCCCCCACCCGGCACTGGGATGCCCCCACTTCCCACAGCAGGAGGGAGAAAATAAAACCAGGGTGGCTGTGCACGGCCAGAATTGCCACCACAGCCACAGAAGGGCTACCCCAGACCCCACACCAACGTGTTGTGAGCCAAAACCCCCCTGTGGGTGGCACCACCCCGCCTGGCACCACCAGGTGCCCCCTTCCCGTGCCCACCTGGAGGTGGACGTAGTCGTAATCCTCCATCCAGCCGCTCTCGTTGTTCTCGTAGGGGCCGTCGGGCGACTCCTGCGCCAGCAGCTTGGGCGGGGAGGGCAGCGGCCGCGACTGGATGCTGCTGGCCTTGTCGGAGGGGTGCGCGGGCCCGTGCCCGTTGCCCTCCGGCGCCTGCTTTGTCCGTTTGAAGAGGAGGGAGGCATTGCCGTGCAGGAAGGAGGCCAGCTGCTTGGTGTCGTCGGGCACGCCGCGCGAGTACATGACGAAGAGCTCCAAGTCGTCCGTGCCCGGCTTGCCACCCACCAAAGCGTTCGGAGCCCAGTGGCACGCGTCCAGCGCCTGGCTGTGCCTCCCCAGGGCCTGGTACACCTCCTCCATCTTCTGCAGCTGCTTGCTGAGCTTGGCGTAGAGGGAGCGGTCCGAGGCCTGGGCGGCGTTGCCCACCGCCCCCCGGGCGAACTCCAGCAGGTCCCGGAGAGCCGCCTGGACGCCCTCCGCCGCCCCGCGGATGCTGGCAGCGTTGGCCTCCATGTGCTCAGCGCTGCGCCAGTTGGCGCTGATGAAGGACATGAGGTAGGAGACGGCGCCGCCGATGCCGTGCTGGAGCTTGGCCAGCATCTCCATGGCAGCGTCCAAGTCCAGGGAGAACTCCTTGCCGGCCCCTTTGGCCGGCTCCTTCACGGGCACCACGTCCAGCGAGGAGCTGGAGAGGTTGCTGCGGGTGCTGCCCGTGCTGGAGGCCGAGAGCCGCTTGCCGTCAGCCGCCTTGGCCTCGCGGTCCACCTGCGGCGGCACGTCGTAGATGTACTCGCCCTCCGTGTCCACCGAGCCCTTGCTGGGGCCGTGCAGGTCCCGGGGCACATCGTACACCTCCTGGGAGGGGAAGGACGACAGCTTCTTGAGGCTGGGGGGCACGTCGTAGATCTCGTGGGAGAGCGAGGGCTCGGGGGCGCATTTCCCTGCCGCTGGCGGCACGTCGTAGACGTCCTCGGGCAGGTAGGGCTCCTGCTGCGTGAGCACAAGGGGGTGGCGGGTGGGGTCGAAAGCTTTCTGCTTGGCGAAGGCGGGGGGCACGTCGTAGGTCTCCTCCCTGCACGGGGCCGTCGGGCACGTCCTTGCTGACGGAGGGCGGCACGTCGTAGACCTGCAAGGGCACCAACGGGCACCGTGGGCTGCGCTCAGGCGTGTGCGTGCCAGCAGCGCCAAGCGCGTGGGAGGGAGGCAGAGCCCGGCACTCGCCCGAGGGTCTCACTGCGCCCTGCTGCACGTAGGCACCGGCTCCGGGCGTGCCAGCAGCACGGGGAAGGATGCGTGCACGACACAGCCCCGCGGCACCCCCGGCCTTCGCGCGTCCCCTGTGGTGCCCAAGCTTTCCCTGCCGCACTTACGGTTTGGTGCAGGTTCTTCTCCACGCTGGGGGGCACGTCGTAGATTTCTTGCCCCGGGTCCTGCCCGTTGGGACCCTTGACTGCCATCGGGGGGGTGTCGTAGACCTGCAGAGGGACAGAACGGGGTGTGAGGAACACACAGTTCCTCCCTGGGGAGGACAGAGGCAGCCCCAAAGCCCACCCAGCTGGGGATCCCCGGGTGGGATTTCCCCGCGTTGTACCCGAGCGTCTCCTCCAGCTCCTGCCCCGCCACCCCCAGGAGCAGACCCACCTCCTGGCTGACCTGGCTGGGGAGCCCGCCGCGGACGGGCGGCACGTCGTAGATCTCCTGGGAGCCCGAGGAGTGCAGGTGGCGGGGAAAATCGTATTCATCCTGCTCCCCCTTGGGCGAGTCGTAGACGTACACCTGCCCCACGCGGCTGGGCAGCAGGACCTAGGAGAGAGGGGAAAGAGCCGGGTTTGGAGCGTCCCCTTGCTCCGGCATCCCCCACCCTCCATCATCCCGAGCCCGTTTGGGTGCTGGGTGAGGAGCTCGGCAGAGCCCATCTGGGTGCCCACGGGAGGGCGCTCCCCGGCCAGGCGTGCCGCTGTCACCACCAGGCTGTGCGGTGACGCCGGGGGGACGGAGATGAGATCACCAGTTATTTATAGCAGCGAGCCTCGGCTAGAGACAAAGCCCAGCCGGCACGGCCGCGGTGTGCAAACGGCAACGGTGACCTGGAGATTAATTTGGGCACCGAGCCGCAGGCCGGGATCTGCCAACGCCCGGAGGGTTCGGTGCCCGCTGCGCCACCGTGTCACGGTGGCACCACGGCCTTCCTGGCACGGAGCGGCCGGGGGAGCTTTCAGGATGCCCCACGCCACGGGGTGAGAAGCCAGTGCCCTGTCCGTGAGTCACGGGGCTTGGCAGCCCCGCTACGCCAGCTGAGTCAGGGCTGCCTTCCTGGAAACCACGCTGCGGCACGGCCGAAAGCGCCTCGCTGCCCTCCCCGGGACAAGGAGCGTCCTGGCACGGCGGCGAGGCACTGGCACCGGGTGCTGCGTGTTCCCAGGAGGGAGGACACATCTCGGCAGCACCGCAGGTACCGCGGGTGCCTCCCTGCGCTGGATGCGGCACCAGGAGGGGCTTCGCCAAGCAGCGCTTTGGTCATCCCAACATCTCCGTGGACGTGCCCTAAATAATGCCCGCACCGAGGGGCCAGCAGGACCCGCGAGCCGTGCCAGGAACCCACAGCAACCAGGGCATCCCAGCCCCAGTGAGCACCCCCGGTGTACCCACTCCTGTCACCGGCACAGGGAACGATGCCCACGCCTCCACAAGGTCCAGGAGATGGCACCGGGCAGATAAACCTGACCATGGAGCCCAGCAGCCCCGGTGCCCACCAGCCACCACAGAGCACAGTGCAAACAGACCCCAAACAACCCCCGACCCCCACCCGAGGCAGCATCCAGACCCCCAATCCTACCTTTCCCGAGGGCTTGTGCCCTTCCCAGCTCCTGCTGTCCAAAGACGGGGGCACCTGGTAGATGTCTTGAGCCTGGCCCACCGAGGGAGGGACCTGGTATATATCCTGGGGGGGGCTGGCAGAGCCCACGGGGTACGCGTCCGCCGCTTGGCTCAGGGACGGGGGCACCTGGTAAATCTCCTGCCCGGGGCTGGGGAAGGCGTGGGGCGGCGTCTGCTTCGGGTAGGCGGGCGGCTGCTTAGCCGGGGCCGGGGGAAACTGTCCGGTGGGCGCCGAGCCCGGGTAGAGGCCCTGCTGTCCCTTGCTAGGGACCGGCATCAGGTAGACATTGTCCCCTTGGGGCGCGTAGGCAGGGTGCATGGGGGTGTACTGCGAGGCGGGCGACAGCGGGACGTAGCCCCCTTGGTGGTGGTAAGGCAGGGGGGGCTGCGGCACCGGGGGCTGCGGCGCTGCCTGTCCTTGCCCCGTGCCGGCCGCTTGCTGCTGCTGCTGCTGCTGCTGCTGCTTCTTGTCGTACATGCCCACCAGGATCTTGAGGCGGTTCCCCGGCACGATGCCCTGGCGGCCGTGGAGGGAGCAGAGCCACCAGCCGTCCAGCCCCTGCGTGTTGCGCTCCAGCACCGTCATGATGTCGCCCTTGCGGAAGGAGAGCTCGTCCGGGGACTCGGCCACATTGTCGTACAGCGCCTTGGCCAGCACGTTCTGCAAGACAGCCCCACGCCGGGGGGGTGAGGACGGCAGGTCGGGAGTCATCCCGGGATCCCAAAGCCTCCCTGGCTCCTCCACCGCCTCTTGGGTGCTTGGCACAGCGGGGACCGAACCCCGAGGCTCTCCCGCGTCCCCCCTCGTGCCGCTCGCCCTCCGCCAGCCGCCTCTTCCTCCCCACTCCAGTTCAACCCATCCTTCCCGGAGGTGGTGCTAGGAAGGGGCCGAACCCTTCTGCGTCCTGGTTTCGGGGACCTCCTCTGCCTTTCCCTCCCCTTCCCGCCGGGGAGGAAGTGCCAGGGCCGTGACTCAGCCAGGGCCGGAGAATTCCCCACCGGCTGCCGAGCGAGTGGAGGGCACGCGAGCACCGTGGCCCCCGGGGACGTGCACCCAGGGCTCGTCCCTCGTTGGGTCCCAGTGCCCTTGGTGCTGCCCGGCCCCATGGCAGATGTTGGGGTGCCATGAGCGTGGCGTGGGCGCACCTGCGGAGCTGGTGGCAGGGCTTGGGGCTCCTTGCCGTGGCCTCCTCGGGGAAAAGCGAGGCTGAGGACAGAGCAGGGGGCTTCTTGGCCACCAGCACACGGCGTTGAGCCCGCTGAGGGCTACGGGAACCGGGTCCCGGGGTGTGGGGAGCCCCCGCAGCCAGCCCCATGGCACCGCCGCCTGCCCGCGCCCCGTCCGAGGCTGTGCCCAAGAGCGAGGCCGCCCCAGCTCCGGGAGCACCCCCTGGATGTGCCCCCGTGGGGGTCAAGCACCAGCTCCCCCCCCCCCCACCCCTTCCCCACATGGGCCCAGCACCCCCTGGGGTGCCCCAAAATCCCCCCCCAGCACCCAAACCGAGCGACCGCGGGCAGGGCCGGGGGGGCTGCGCCGTGCCCCCACTCCCCCCCAAACCCCCCCAGCGCCCCAAACCCATCAGGGGCAGGGGGAGAGGGGCGGTGCTGCCCCCGCTCTCACCAGGTAGTTCATCTTCCCCGCTCCCCGCGGCGCTGCGGCGGCACAAAGCGGCGGGGCCGGGGCCGGCGGCGGGGCCCGAGCGCGGAGCAGCGGCGGCGGCGGCCGCCCGGGACCGGGACCGGGGCCGGGGCCGGGGCCGGGGCCGGGGCCTGTGTGCGGAGGGCGGGCGGGCGGCGCTGCGGCGGTGGTGGCGGCGGCGGCCCCGCCGGAGGGATCATTCCAGCGCCCTGCCAGCAGCGGCCCCGCCGGCCCCGCTCCGCCCATGGGCTGCGCCCGCACCGGAGGGAGGCGGCGCCCGGGCGGGAGCGAGCGGGGGAGCGGAGGCGGAGGGGGACCGGGAACGGGGTCCTCGGTTGGGGTTTGGGGCTCCCCCGGTGGGGTTTGGGTGCTCTCCTTGGGTTTTGGGCGCCCCCGTTGCGTTTGGGTTCCCCTGTTGGGTTTTGGACGCCCCCCTCGGGTTTTGGACACCCCCATAGGGTTTTGGGCTCCCCGTTCGTTTTTGGACGTCCCTGTTGGGTTTTGGACACCTCAATAGGGTTTTGGGATCCCCCATTGGGTTTTGGATGCCCCCATTGCGTTTGGGCTCCCCGTTGAGTTTTGGATGCCCCCATAGGGTTTTGGGCTCCCTGTTGGTTTTTGGATGCCCCCATAGGGTTTGGGGCTCCCCCATTGGGTTTTGGATGCCCTCAATGGGTTTTGGATGCCCCCGTTGTGTTTGGGCTCCCTGTTGGGTTTTGGACACCCCCATAGGGTTTGGGGCTCCCCCGTTGGGTTTTGGGTGCCCTCCTTGGGTTTTGGATGCCCCCCTTAGGTTTTGGACGCCCCCATTAGGTTTTGGATGCCCTCAATGGGTTTTGGACACCCCCATTGCCTTTGGGCTCCCCGCTGAGTTTTGGATGCCCCCATAGGGTTTTGGGCTCCCCGTTGAGTTTTGGGTGCCCTCCTTGGGTTTTGGACACCCCCATAGGGCTTTGGGCTCCCCGTTCATTTTTGGACGTCCCTGTTGGGTTTTGGACGCCTCCATTGCGTTTGGGCTCCCCGTTGAGTTTTGGACACACCCATAGGGTTTGGGGCTCCCCATTGGGTTTTGGACGCCCCAATAGGGTTTTGGGCTCCCCGTTGGGTTTGGGTTTTGGGGTCAGGCTGTGAGGGGCCAGCTCGAGGCGCATGGAGCGTGTTTTGGCCGCTGTTGGCTTCTCCCACCCGCGTCCCGTCCCGAGGCCACCCCAGCTGGAGGCTTGGGCGCGATAACCCCGCTGGAGGCAGTGGCGGGGGCTGTGGTCGAGCCCGCAGACCACAGCCGGAGGTCGGCGGCTTCCTCCCAGCGGGGCGGGCAGCTCGCAGCGCTTGGCATCCCCAGGCAGCGGCTCCCCGAAGCTGAGCCTGCCTGCGGAAGGCACCGAGGGGTGGTGAGCGCCCTGCCCTGCCGGGATGCTCGGTGTCACCCTCGGGGACACGCTGCCCGGCCCATGGTGGCCCCATCCCAGCCAGTGCCCGGAGCAGGATGCTCGCGGCGCAGCACGGGCGCTTAAAAGCAAGCAGGAATTTTTAATTTCCCCTCCCTGTGGCAACGCTGTGATCAAAGCGGCCCCGTGCCGGTATTTGATCCCGGCCATTTTTGCTGCTTCGGAGCCAAAATCGCTGCTCGCATCTGAGGAGCGCCCCGAGCTGGCAAAGGCTCCTGCAAGCCCCGTGCCTCCACCGGGGAAGCACCCGGGGGGCCACAGGCACGGGCAGGTTCCCTTCTGCTTCTCCCACCTCAAAGAAAATGAAATGCTGAAAGGAAAGTTGAAAAATGCGGAGTTCTGGGGGCCCTGGGGTTGCGCGGAGCTGCTGCAGCTCATCCCGTGCTGCCGGCGGTGGGTTTTGGCAAGGGGCAGAGCTGCACCAGCACCGTGCCTGGCCGGGGGGGGGGGTATTTAACCTCCCCCCGCCCCGCTCAGCACCCCAAATCCGTGTCCTGCAGCTGGGGGATGTCAGCCCCAAACAGAGCGACCGGGGGCACATGGCTTTGGTGCAGCCCACCCCTTTGATGCAGGCACCTGAACACAGGGCTGGGCATTTCGGGAGGGGGGATGCTGCGTTGCCCCAGTGACAGTTGCTATGGAAAAAGCTCAGCGGTGAAATTTCCAACATTTTCGTGTGGCCGTCGTCATTTCTGGGAGTCCCCCGCATCCGGAGGGGCAGGCGGAGCGGCTCCACGTGGAGCAAGCTGCCGCGGTGCCCACAGGGTTTTCCTGCTTTTCCCTCTGGGTCCTGGCTTGGGAAGGCGTTGGAAGACCCCAAATCTTGGTGTCACCTCCATGGGGCCAAGAAGAGCAGGGCCAGGCCAGGGGGATGTTTTGGAGAGCTCAGCCTTTACCCAAGCCGGGGCACGGCTCCAGGGGACCAGGACATTGGGGAAGGGTGGCACTGGGACGCTCGTGGGGCTCGTGGAGCCGTCCCCAGCGGGACCAGAGGCATTTGGTCGCCTGCACGCGGCTCCGTCCTTCGGAAAGCTGCCTCCTGGAGCAGCAATAGGATTACACGGGACTGAGTCTCCTAGCAATGAACGGATAAATAAATCCTATAAGGCAGTAGGGGATTTATTAGACTTCAATATTCGGGAAATAATGAGGGCATTTCTCTTGGCTTGTAATATCACGGGACCCAACAGGATCACAACAAGGCTTTATCCCCGTGCCTTTCCGTGGCGTCGGGCAGGTTTTCAGCCGCGGGGACGAGAGGCAGAGCCCTTTTCATGAGGTTAAACCCAGCCCTGCTCCTTCCCAACAGGGCTGAGACCCCAGGATGGTGTTGGGGACCAAAACGGCAGAGCTGGCAGCTTTTCCCTGGGGGGGGAGAAAAGCCATTTTCCTATTCCTCTGCAGCCCGCGGTGGCGATGCGGAGCCGGGATGGACCCCGTAACAGAGCGCTGGGGCAGGCGCACACAATCGCTGCCTTGTTCGGGGCCGAGAGCACAAGGGGCCCGTTCAGGCGGCCGGGGCCGGGAGCTGGGCAGCGCTGGTTGCCCCCCTGTGCCGAAACGCAGGGCCCGGCCCACGGAGGATGCAGCGGCCGCACGGAAATTCAGCAGGAGCGTGGGCTGGGGGGCTCCTGGGCTCCGCTCAGGGCCGTGCACCGGGGCCGGCCCCTTTGTGGGAAGGCGGGCGATGGAAATAGCGAGCGGAGTGGTTTTGTGTTGGCTTTTTGTTGTTTTTTTTTTCTTCTCTTCCTAAGCAGCCGAGCTGTGTTTTCTGGAGCCCTGTAAATCACTCCTCGTCTTCAGGAAAGAGAGGCGAGGAATACATGACCCAAGCGAGGAAAAACGCAGGACGCTCGGGAGCGCTGGCGGAGGAAGCCAGAAATGAGCCCTGGGCTGGAGCTGCCCCCTCCAAACTGTCCCCAGGGAGCAGAGGGGCTGGGACAGCCGGCACCTGGGCAGGGACAGCGTGGGGACAGCTCGGGGACAGCTCGGGGACAGCTCGGGGACAGGCTCAGGGACGGGCCACAGAGGCAGCGGCACGCGGAGACCCAGCCCGGCACAGCGGGGAGCCGTCAGCCCGCTGGCTTCCAGCAGGTCAGGTTGCTTCCAAGATCTCAAAAACATCCACGTTCGCTCAGCCGAAGAGAAAGCGAGCAGAGAGAACGGGAGCGTTATGGGGCTGGCAGGAACCGGGGAGCCCCGGGGTTCCCAAATCACCAGCGTGCCAATGGGGGGGACTGGTGTCAGCCCCATCGGTGCCGGGGAGCCTGCAGGGAGCTGTCTGGGGGCAGGCGGTGGGATGGGGAGGATTTCTGCTCAACCTGGGAGCTTACACACCTGCCTGCCATGGGATCAGGCTGGGCTAGGTGCCTCTGGTCTTCTTTAGGTGCTCCAAAATCCCCCTGCTCCATTCCCATGCAATATCCCCTGCGGCCATAAAGCTCGCTGGTGCAAGGGCCAGCTCCTGCCCGGCTGGCCGTGCTGCAGGGAGGCTGCTCCGGGCCCCCAAAATGCTCACAGCCATCGGAGGCTGCTGCTCCTGGGACACAAATTGTCCTGCAGCACCATCAGGGGGGGATCCCCACGGGGATTTGGGGCACCCTGAGCGTGTCCCAGTCTCACCGTACCCCTCGCAAAGCTCCCTCCTGCTGTTACCGTGACCAGTTTGGGAGCGTCGGCGAGATGCGAGCGTTTCCCAGCCCCTTTGTTTTGTTTTTCTCAAATCTCAGGCTCGGTGCAAGCAGCTCGGTAACAGCTCACCCTGCGCGTAACACGGCGCCAAGGGCTGCGGCTCCCCCGGGCACGTGGTGTTTTGTTCCCGTCCATCCCTCCCCGCGTCCCCAGCGCGAGGGCTGACTCAGCAGCCGCCACGTGAGCCCCGAGCCGAGCCCAGGCTCGGAGCCGCGGCACGGGGCCAAGCGCGCCAGCGGTGAGGCCGGGGCTGGTGCCGCGCTCTGCCTGGCGCAGGGACAGCCCGGGAGGAGGCCGGGGCTGCCCCTGCCCAGGGAAAGGCTGCGAGGACCAGCACGGCCCCGGCCCGGGGAGCTGCTGGCCGCAGGAGGGATGGCCGAGGTGACGGCACGCGCTGGCCTCCAGCTCCTCACCCCACGCCCAAGTTCTGCCCTCCCAGGGAGCTTTCCCCGTGGATATCGCTGCCTTCAGCGGGTTTCCTTGCTCCTGCAGCACTGCTACGGCCGGGCTGTGCTGGCCCCAGTTGTGGATTTGATCCCAGAGCCCCGAGCCTCCTGTCCGGAGCCACGGCTGCGACCACGAGGCTGCTATGGAGGCAGGCAGCGAGCAGGGCCGCGGTGGCACGCTCGTAACCGTGACCCTGACTTTCTTTGCCTGCTGCAAACTGAGCCAGGCTGCGAGCACACGAGAGCATCGGGATGGAATACTTTATTCACGTGAACAGATCCTGGCCCGTCCTGCCTGCTGCAGCTGCTCCCATCCCCTCGACGGAGCGAACAAGGGAGGATTTCTTCCTCGGCTTGCTTAAAAAGCCCCAGCACCATCAGACCCCACAGACAAGTACAGACAGTTTGGCTTTGTCTGGGCGAGAGCGCAGAGGAGCAGGGAAGGCTGCGGGGCTGGCAGAGCGGGGAGAAGGGCTGCAGCCCCGAATCCCAGGGCTCGCACACACACAGCAGCCACGAAGCCTTTCCTGCAGCTCCTCTCTCACCACAAACGTCGGCCGAGCCGCAACCTGGCTTTATCCTCCTGCCCCCGGCTCCAGCAGCGTCCCAGGGGTGGCAAAGGATC